TGGTTTCTTCAAAGCACCTCTTGCACCTTTATATTTCAGAGTAATTGAATTGGCAGTCTATGCGCAGGTAACTCACTGATAATCCATTTCAACATTGGCAGACGCAAACACAAACACAAACACTTGCATTAGGGCAGAAGTGATTGAAAAATACATCTTGAGCTCTGTGTGTATAAACTGGGAGTAATGACTGGATGTTTGCTTGTCTAGTTGACGGACAGAGATTTGAATCTTGTCTGAGCACTTTCATTGTCTACTCCAGTGGCCACCCCTATAACACTTGTAATTTACTCTGGTAAATAAGATAATAGAAATGATAAAGGGGAAAAAAAGAAAATATTTAAGAATATATATTCACTTTTACAGGGTATTAACTGCTAACATACTATACTATAACTTTTATTGGTTTGAAAATGCAAGTATTTACCAAAAACAATGTATTAACTCTATGTGCTAATTCATTCCCCCTTCAGAGCACTGCTGTAACACAACCAGTGTGCATCCCACTATTGAAACTACTACACATCAGATCAGGTTTGTCAGGTTTGTTAGATTTGGCATCGTCATACAGAATCTTACAGCTAAGCAAACAGAAAGGAGGGTTTGAATAGGGTCTGGGAGAGATCACTAAATTACTGAAATGTGTATTGATGACATCTAAAACCTCTGAGGGAACAACGATATAGATAGCTAAAAATACCTCCTCTGCATAGTATGCCCTCTTTAATGAAATGAAATAGAGGACTGAGTCACTACAAAAAGGGGGTATAGTTCTGTGACTCATCGATAGAGCAACAGCTTTCTTCTCCATTTTCTGTCTTTAAAGCAACGGATGAAATGTTGCATGTTTAAATCCCCATGTTTTTCCTCAATATAGTCAGCATTCAGACAAACATTAGCTTTGTTCTTGTTTGGTTACAATTCGCCAGTCTGTCAGTCACTGTGGAAATCACTCCCGAAACCTATATTTCTCTAGAAGTAAACTGCCTTTTTATGCTGCTGAAAAGTTTAAAGTAAAGTTATTTCACACCATCACTGTAGCAGCCAAAACTTGCCCTGTGTGTGGTGTCTTGGATGTGTGTCTTCCATAAAAATAGCGTCCAAAATATTGTGTTCCTTAATGTTCATTGGCATATCTTTTAGCCATCCACATAATACACGGATGTCAACACTCCATAGATGACGATCAAAAGACTGTTAACCTCTAGACTGCAACAGCTGAGTGCGCTTTTTCCTCCCCTTTTATAGTAATAAATTGCAATTAGCGCTACATACGGCAAGGCAATATGGTTCCAACAATTTTGATAACATAAGAAATGACATTATATTATCTGTTAGAAATTATATGCAAAGCCAGTGTCCTTATGAGACATGCACCTTGCAATTGCAGGAAAATGTCGTCAACTTAGACTGTCGCAAGAACATTTTGAAGTTTGTGTTTTAAAAATTGTATACTAAAATCTAAAATTCTATGCCAACTTAAAATGAGGTGAAGTAGAGAGAGTTTTTTTTTTATTGCCTGAGTATCTCTCTATAGGTTTCGTCAGGAAGGACTCTATAGTTGAAGGTTATTCTGTATATTTTTGTGGTATTGTGTGAGTCAATAGAGTTACAGTGCATTTGTGAAGCAACCCAGACTGTAGACTGTACTCCCTATACCCATTTCAAATGCAGTCCATTGATATTTTAAATGTTTGTTTTTTTTATGTTTGGGGATTTAAAGTACTTCTCTCTCAAAATGCTATATGTGAAGAATTGTTTATGTTAATGTTGAATCCAATTTATGGTGTTATGGTTCAATTCTACGATGTGCATTTGTGTTGTTTCCTGGTTCTGTCTCCTGTGGTCTTTTTTTTTTCAGGCTTGCACTTCTGCCGGTGGGAGTGGGCTCTGGGTATGTACACCTGAGTCTGTTCACAATCAAGCTCAGTACTTAAACCCCCAGCTCTCCAGCGCTCACTGCCAGATTGTTCCATTTTCTCAGTGATTATCTGCTGCTTGTGAGATCCCCAAGATGAACCAGACCTGTTAATAACCCTTTTTTTCTGTTTAAAAGTCCTATATTACGCAAAATTGTGAATAATTGTGAGCTTGAAGCCATGTTATAATGCTGTTACCTCCTCAAAAACATGCCAGAAGATGTGTTTTGTTTTATTCACACATGTTTGAGTAATCCTGCTTTGTCTAGATCCCCAAAGATCAAAATGTTCTGTTCTACTTTGTGATTGCAGCTATCTTTTAACTTTTATTCAGTAGGGATTGGAAATTCCAGAAATTATCCAAATGATTCAGGTGAAGGTGGATGGAGATTAAAACACAGTGGAGGTACTTCTTTCATTACCACAAGACGTCACAAGGTTATTTGAGGGTTTGGGTGTTAAACATGTGTGAATCAAACAAAACACAATACCAGGTATGATTCTGAGGGGATACAAAACAGCCTAATTTGGGGCCTTTAATTAACACAGCCTGATAAAATAAACCACGATAAAGGTCTCATGCAGGTGACTACGCAAAGTTCTTACTTACTGTGCCATACTAATAATTGTGTCACTTATGCTATATTAAGGTGCAGGCGTCATTCTCCACAGAGCATAATATCCGGAAAAAAATACAAGTTAATGGGCCTTTAGGAGAAAATTAATGAGATCTAAACTGTCACAGCTTCTCACCATTGGTTTGCAGTGATGTTGGGGCAAAGCAAACATCAATATATATGCACGTCAGGGGAATAAACCAGGCTCTTCTAAGGTTTTGCATGACTAACTTTAATTTATTTTGCTGCGCTACATGACCACCTTACTGTAGAGTCGATAAGAAGCCAGCGGAAGTTTGGCTGCTTTTATATTTCTGCAAATTACCTTGTGGGTAATGGTGTGAAGCAAGCATAATAAGAGATCAGGCAATTAAAGATAAGTCATTGTTCATTTCAATAAGATGAGTTTTTAAATTGATCTTTTTGGCACAAATGATTGTCTGTAGAAGATAGACTGTTGAAATTGCATATATTATAACTAAAAAAATATGAAATGATTGACACTAGAGTGATCATGTAGACAAATAAACTAGTTAAAATATTGGATAGGCTCAAAAGATGACAGAAGCTGTAGTTCTGGAAAACAAGAGAAACTTTTCATGTTCATGTTATAAAGGTGTACATCAACAGCATACCTGAAGTTGTTTTTTGTTGTTTTGTTTTATGTTTGAATGATCCTACATGAAACTACTTCCATGTAATTCAACCTCGTGGTAATGAATATTTTTACTCTACTTTAAATGGCTTTACTCCTTAGTGCTTTGTTACATTTGATTGGTGAAAAAGCATATAGAGGAAACACACTTTTTCAGACTCTTCCTCAGAAACAAGGGGAGACAGGAAGAAGGCTTTGATGGCAATATTTCACTGGTGTTCACTGGAGCACTCACCCAATTAGTCTTGAACCAAATGTGGCCCTTTCAGTCCCACCCACCATTGGGCCTGTCTGAACTTCAGATGTAATGGCCTACAGTTCAGAGAGCCTCTCACGCTCAACCCCCCACCATGACTGATGACTGCACCGACCGCCATAGAGTTTCCTCTTTGAGACAGGAGACACATACAGTACTTCTGTGTGAAAAGACTAAACAATATTGTGCATTGATCTTTTGACACTGTATCACACTTTACACAGTCAGACATAAAATTATAACCATTTGAATATAGGGTCTGGAACCTTTGGAAAAATGTAACCAGTATTTACATTTTTGGTGAAGGGTCATCTATTCTCCTTAAATGTCTTTAAATGTTCCACAGTATGGCATTAAACATATCAACCTTGCAATTATTTAATAAAAGGTGGTTTTATTGCAAAACTATACATGGAAAAACCTGCCTTCTTACTGCAGGAGTAGGCATATGCCTCTTGATCTGACCTGTAATTTGGCCTGGTGATGTCCTGCTTGTCTCTATGGAGATTTTTGTTTTGTATATGTCATATAGGAACCTTCAAAGAAAAGCAATAACATAAGACCAGGTGAAGTCTGAACTCCCACCACAAACGTGACCTAGTGGACCTTTAAACCTGGTTAAAGTACTGCTCTCCTTTGAGAATGTTAAAGCAATTGGATTCATTTTTAAATGAAATAATACTGCTTCCTATGTCAAATATCCAGAAGGTGTTTTTTCTACATGTTGGTCTGCTCTCATTGGTCATGGTTACTGTCTCCCCTTGGGCTTTTCAGATTGTGACGGCAGTGTAGAGAACCAGCTGACTGAGCTCCTTCAATTAGGAGTATTAGCTCATGCAAATGGAATCAATACATCTGATGCACACAAGCACATACACACGCACACACGTACACACACAGGACAGGAAGCCAGTGGACAATCAAATTAGTGGAAGGCCCTCATCAGGCTGTTGTTCACCTGCCTCAAGGTGAATTTGGCCATAAAATACACTGGCTGCATTAATGTATTGGGTTAAATCTTTACTGTATGACATTGATGCATGTCTTTGGATTTCTATTTCGGGACAACATGCAGCACTTATGTTGTAGTTGTCTAGTTTTGCCTCTTTAACAATGTGTAAGACAGCTCTTAAGCCTATATGTCAAATATATTCTTATGTACAGTCCAATTTTAATAGACTTTTGACATTTTCAAATCTATCCATGCTCTTGTTCTCCTATACAAGTGTTCAAATGTAACAGTGAGGGGATGGTTTTATTTTTAGTCTTCAAAATGCATCTTTTAGTAAATGCGATTCTTTCAGATGGAACCACACTACCTACACATTTTCAATGATTCTTGTTCATTTTATTTCAGTAGACGATGTGTATTACCAGGTTACAGCGACATTGGTCTACAGATATGGGCTATTTCATTAAGTTACTTTTCACACCAGTGATGAAGTTTGAAGAAGGCAGGAGGCACCTCTCTCTCCATCACTGTCTCCACCTCTTAGAGAGGGCTCTGCGCAAAGCGTACATCCACTCAGTTCACTCTCTCCGCTCATCTCAAACACGAGGACAAACAAAAGCATCATTCCGGGCGCAATGTTTTTGCTTATTCCTAGTACGAAACTGGTAGAAAAGGTTTGAGTGTTTTCATACTAGTCGAGGTCGGAACGCCGTGTTCTGAATGTTTTTTCTGCAGAAATGGGAGCGCATCACGCGCGCACTGTGGAGTGGACCATGTGTCGCTCAGGCACATCTCTTCGTGGGCAAATGGAAGACGCAAAGCAACGCTGATTTGTGAAGGATTTTGTTTTTTACATGAAGAAGCTTCGTCGATGGGAAAACTAAGAAAGAGGAGATGGTAGAGAAGTAAGTGCCCACAATGTATAGCTTATATTTTTATGTTTCAGAAGAAGTACTCTTCATATAAATATATTTTTGTTCTTGTAACTTTTATCTCTTAATCTAATCATTTGCATTTGGAAGTAGGCTACATAGCTCATTTCTCTTGCATTCTTGAGCATAGCCAACTGAATCTGCCATTTATCTCCAGTTCCATTATAATTTGTGCAGATTAAGAATGCCGGACATTTGTAAAGCAGTGTGGCATGTGTCATAACACCGAAAAGCCAGTGAAAAATAGAGTAATGTAATGAGTGTGCATTGTGTTGTTTGGCGCGCAGTCTCCATAAGTTGTTGACAATAAATTTCTGACAATTAAGACCTCGTGGGGCGGTTATGTAATTCCATGTAGTGTAGCAGAGCAGCCTGTTTGCAGAGCGCGAAACACTGTTAAATATTTAATGCGCCTTAGTGCCTTTGCCTATTTACTTTGTGCCCCTGAGTCAAAAAGCGGCATGCGTTGGCTTTCAATTTCGCATTTAGTTGCACGTTTAGAGCGATTATGCAGATTTTACATTTAAATAATAGTTGCTTAGATAGTCAACAGCGAATAGTAAAGAATGATCTTCAGTAGCCTGTGGCAGTGGAGTTCTGGCCTCCTAGGTCGTTTCTTTATAACAGAAGAGGGAAGTGGGGCAGCTAATCAATGGATATGATAGCTCTGGGTTGAGAGCTTTATGACTCGAAATGGATTTAAAGACAAATGGGTTACAGAGAGGGAGTGTGGATTTGAGGAACCACAGCCTGTTTCAGATGTAGTGGAGTGCTGCGCATAATCACGACATTTAAAAAAAAATCAGATGAACTTGTTCCTGGCTCTCACAAACCTTTTCACACACCCTTAGTACATTGATACACGCTCTGGAGCAGCTTTTCAGACTGAGACGTGAAGCAGGTGGGCCACCCTGGCACAGCCAATCATCCCAACCTTTATAGTGATTCACATGTTTATTCTTTCTAGTTTACAATAGATAAAGACCTAATGTATCTAAAAAGATAAAGACTGCCTGTGGTGTCTTTATTTTCAAGCAGTGCTTTCACTTTCTAGGGGAAAAAAACTTTGGTATATGATAAGAAATGGGTGGGTACTTAAGTTTAACTTAGTCAAAATGCATCTTGTGAAATGAGGACTTCTGATGTCTGACATTGTCCTATGCAGTGGCCGCACCTGACCTCCTGGACCCGAAGTCTGCTGCCAACAACTCCAAGCCTCGCCTGTCCTTCTCAGCCAAACCCGTGGTGCTGACCCCCCCTGAGGATGATGAGTGTGACACCAGGATCACCGTCATGAGGTGGAAAACTGTGTCGGCCATCTTCTTCCTGGTAGTGCTATACCTCATCATTGGAGCCACAGTGTTTAAAGCTCTGGAGCAGCCCCATGAGAGCAAACAGCAAATGACCATCCTGGATCAAAAGATAAAGTTCCTCTCCATGCACTCCTGTGTCAACACTAGTGAGCTGGAGAACCTGGTCAAGGTAGGATTTGTCATGTTCACAGTAAAACCTCTGAGAAGGCACCAGTTAATGTAATTATTAGTTAAAGAAAACCTATTGTACTTGCGTCTGCTATATAGTTATAGCTATTAAGCTATTAATCTCAAATTATTTAATGTACATAAATCAGTGCAAATACAACTTGTGAGTAAATGGTGAGACAAAACAACTATAAGATGGTTAAAGGCTCTGCAAAGTCACAGCACACTTTAACACAAAGGTTTCATACTATTTGGGTCAGGACCATACAGTGTATGAATGAGCCGCTGATGAGGGTTGAATAGTTCATTGTTGTAATGCACTCTTTATAGCCCAAGGAGGGAGAAAATCGCTACACTGAATAAATGTGACCTGCAACTCAGAATCTCAAGCAGTACTGAAAATACTCAAAGCTTTAAGTAAAGATGAAGCCCCGTTAGACAAATCTCAGCTCAGTGGAGAGTTGTATCAAAGAGGGAATTCAAAGCTCTTCACTATACATTGTACTTCATGCAACTGAGTGTGAATACAATACTTACTTAGTATATATACTGATATATATTTTTGGCATTTTGCTAGTTTAGAATTCTTGCTGGAATTTTTGTATGTGATGTAAGTGCAAAGCTGGTGAAAAGCAGAAAACGCTGGGTTAACCATGTATTTTAGAAGCTCAAGCTAATCTATGATGTGTGACCACAGAAGCTCACACATCATCATCATTAGGCTGTTAATGATGCTGCGTGAGGCTGTGTGCTGTGTTAGGGTCAAAAACTGTCCAGTGTGCTTTGTTTGTCTTTTTTATGATAATTTAATTTTGAATTGAATTTATTCCCTAAAGTGTGGGCCTGTAGATGATTATACAACTACTTTGCCATAATCTGGTACACAGCATCTGTTTCTGTATATATTGCTTATACTTAAACATGTAAGTAGTATTCTCAGACATTGTGCTCTGCTGTTAACCTGTACCCACCGTATTATGCACCAAGTACCAAATACTATAGCCAAACCCCAATACAGTCTTGTTTAGAAATATCAGTGTTTACACTCTCCAGAAATTGACTTTGTTCCTATTAGTTCGTTGTGACCACTATGGCCGTTTCAGTGGTATTTTAATGGGATTCTGACCCCCTAAGGCCCAAGTCAATATGTTGCATTGTTTCTAGACTAGGTTGTTATTTTAAATTAGATGTCAACTTTTTCACGTGAGATGTTCTTCTAGACAACAGTAATGACTACGGTTTGCTATTTGTTTACCCTCATTATATCTATATCTAGATCTATAACCATATACAGTGATTGCTGAAAGTGCAGTGCAACGATTCTTTTGGATGGTGGTGCTTGTTGTTGACTTACTACTCACAATCAAAAAGAATGACACTCATTTTCAAAAGAGTCATTAATTTCTTCTGTGACTTCAATTGGCAATTCTCACATGTGTCCTGGTTTAAAAGAAAAAAAAAAAGTGCTTGGCCTCAATCGTCAAGTGATTTAACAAACATTAGTGCCAAAACAGTACATTCATTTTCTACTTTGAGTCAAGCTTTTCGGAATTAAAATCTGTCTGAATTATGAATAGTTCATCAGAGTTTGCACATGTTATTTTTGGATTTTCTCTATTAGGTAAAGGCCGACATTAATCAGACAGGAAATGAAGGGGACACAGAGTTGTGACGCAAATGAACCTGAGCCAAGATTTGATTGTTGGACACCTGTGGTGGCCGTCTTAAGAAAGCACTTGTGCGTATTTGGACATTAAAATGAGCATTAAGTAAGAGTTACCAGTATTTAAACCCCAAATTTTGACCATCATTTTTTTTTATTTTTTTTATCAATTACCAATGTGCAGTTTGATTTTATTATCTTGAGGAAATATGGTGCAAGATATTCACTACAGAATAATGTTATGAATTTATTTATATTCTTATAGCTTTGTTGGAGTAATTATGATTTGAATAATACAAAATAAATGTGGTAAATACTTAAATTATAGTTGAATTACTGTGCACTAAACAACTGCCTCAGAACAAGGAGGTTGCTGGTTCAATTCCCATGCCATCATCTTTATGAGTTGACTTTCCCTGTTATATTGGTGCAAGGTTTTAATTTTTTCACAATTTTAAATAAAAGTCAAGATTTTTACCTTTTAGAACCACCTATGCACTGTATTATTTCATATTTCAGTATGTCCTCTTTCAGCTCTATATATGTTGTGTCTCCCCCAAACAGATTCAATCCTAACAAAACATACTAAAATTTCAAACTTGATTTCAGTACTAAGGAAAGGGTTTGATACTTAATACTAACTAATACATCACAGTGATCATTAAAATACAATAGAATGTAATTTTCAACATTTAGAGTATTTATTCATAGTTGTTTATTAGTTCTGAAATCAAAGCCACTCTAAAACTATCAAGGAAAGGTCAAGCTTGGTCCTATTAAAGATCTACCTCTCAATGAGTATCTTATTTCCTTATTGATTTCTTGTGTATGGATTTTTGGACAACTGTAGACGCAACATATTGACTGTCAGCAGCTCTCGTGTTCCTCTGGTGTACCATCCATTCCTGTTTGAGCTGTGGGACTGTGCCTCTCTGTTATCTCACTTTGTTAATGAAGTGCTCCCTCACTGTCACTGAGGAAGACAGATGAACAAAGACAAACTCCTCACTTTGCTCTGACCCCGGTCCTGTCTCAGTCTGCTCAAGTGTGGTTAGTGTAAAAAGCTGAGAGTGCTCTTTCAACAATGGAGGCTCTGATCCAGTTAATCACTTCTTTTGCATAAACACACTTTTTAAATTGCTGCTGTTATAATGACAGGATTAATTCATCACTTTGTTGGATAATTTAAATTTAAAAAGTTAAGTAGTATACGTAGTTAAAGTTGTACTATGTAATTTTTCTGCTGGAGAGTCCACCTCCTGCTCCTGATGTTATTGCTTTGCCTGAAATTTTCCGTTGTTGACATGATCTATGTCCATGGTGATAAGCAGATTACACCAAACCAAGTTACAATTAAATCTGTTGAGAGGCACCCCCACTCACACTATTAAGTCATTATTTTTAAGGTATTTTTTGAGGAATAAAAGTACCTGTAATTAAATAAATGTAAGATAGATAGCTTTACTGCCATACAGCGTTCCAGACAAAGCATTTTCTTGGAAACAAGCAGGTGTACCTCGTTTTTGATATTTATTAACAGCATATATTTCTGTAAGTATAAATACCTATTAAAGTTATAATAACATAGACTAGTAGACGATATTTGCTTAGGAGATGTTACTCTAGATAACCTTTCAGTGTCTACACTCTTAGATACAAAGTGTTACGTTTGCTAAGGCTGTGGTTTTAATATTAAGCAATCTTCTTGGTCTCTGTGGCAAGCAAAATATAAATATTCATGAACAGTGGCTTCCCATTTTGCTGAATTCTGCTTTTACAACTCCCCAGTGGAAGTTTTCAGATTTTTTTTTTTTTTTACCAAGACATTTTATCCTGACAAACAACAAGCCACATTTTAGACCTTGAAAAACTTTGATTGTTGAGCAGAAATCACTCAAGTGTGATGTATTTTGTATTAAAAAGGTAAATCTTCCATTGGTTCAGTAAGTCTCCTTGTCGGGACAGAGAGCCTTGAATGGGGAACAGTGCAGTCTTTCCTGTTGACTTAGCTGCTGTCTAATTCGCCTGTCTCTCTCATTTAGCCATTTTACACAGTTAACTCCTTGTTAGCCACCTGTTCTTCTCTTGCCACACACATGCTAAAGTTGTATACAGTACTACACAAAGCAAAAGAGTCTTTAAATAGGACTAGACAGGATTTGGGTTCAAGCTAAACAGCTGTATATCGCATCAACTCTGCGGCCTCACATGGCTCCTGTTCCTGTATTTCCCCCTGTGTTTGTTTTTGAATTGCATAATTACTTCCCTGAGAACTCTGTGACATTGGTTTGTTGGTTGGTCTGTGATTCATAGTTGTGAGCCTTTGATAAAGTCTAAAGAAACACTTCATAATGAACAAATAGTTAATCAAGAATGGCCAGGCTCACAACTTATGTCTAGAGCGGAATTCAAAACATGAACACTCACTCCAACCGAGCTACTGTCGCCCCAGGTTATTGTAGGAATTACTCTTAAGATGTTAATGAAGTAGTTACATAATAAACTTTATTTATGATGTCTTAAGTCTGTCTTTATCCATTATTAAGGCTCTGTAAGGTGTAACAGCACAGTGACGGTTTAGTAATCACAACAACCTCATATCTCTCCTTAAAGCAGAACTCGTCCTCTTTTCTACAGATTCGTATACTGCGGTATTTTTTAGCCTCAGATTTTTCAGCCTGAAACCATAAACACATCACCTGCCAGACTGCTGATGTTATTTTAATGTTTGGGGCTTTTCAGTTATGAAGCCTCTCTATAGAATCAAACAGAGGTGTGTTGTGCTGAGTTGGAGCAGTGGAGAAGGCCCATCACAGATATTCACTGACAGACCAGTGTTCACTTAGATGTATTATTCTCCAGGCTGTTGTGTGGCTCAGTGGTGCAGCTGTTGTGCTTTTGTATCATTGGAGTTGTAAATTCAAATCCAAAGTGTGAGTAAAGTAAAATGAATGATATTGACAAGTACTTTCTCTTCACCACCTTATACTTAAGGTACGTGTATATACAAAACTGATCTATGCAATTTTAGAACCTCAAATTGTCTATATTAAAATACCATATATAGTATAATATATCTTTCAAACAAGGATATGAACTGAAATTTCTGCAAATGTATGATTCATTTTACTGTCCATTTATGTTTTGTGACATACACTTGCAGGTACATTACAGGACCCAAGTTACACTATTTTCTGATCTATTATAATGTTAGTCCAATGAGGTTCATTTGGTCTTCCCTTAAGTTATGTTATTAGGTTATTTTTTTCAGACCAAGAGTTTGTTTTCATACCTGACAGTTGCGACTGCTCACTAGTGGTCTTCCTCAGAGTGGTCACGTGACATGTCTGGTCAGCTGATTTATACAGGTTTTGGTGCTGTCTTCCTACTGGTGGAGGCAGGATGACTGCGTAATCTGCAGTCCGACTTCTTCAGGACAGTATCCTAGGTGTGTAAGAGTACAAAGGCCCCCTTGTTCTGATTTATCCCATCCATTATAATCCTGCCTCCACCAGTAGGAAGACAGCTCCAAAACCTGCTTAAATCAGCTGACCGGACACATCATATCAACATCACATGACCACTCTGAGGAAGACCACTAGTGAGCATTCGAAAGTGCCAGGTATGAAAACAAACTCTTGGTTTGAAAAAAGAACCTAATAACATCTATTATAATGTTGTTTCCTCATCAAAAACATACCTGGAGTTGTGTTTTTTTTCATTCACACATGTTTAAAACACAAACCCTGTATATTTAGGCTGTGTTCTTTTCTCAAACAGAAAACATTATGTTCCACCTTGTGATGTCTTGTGGCAATTCAGGAAGTTCTCTACTGTGTTTTCAGATTCCATACACCTACACTGGAATCATCAGGTTGATTTCAGCCCTGAAATTGTCAGTCTCTATTGAACAAAAGTAAAAGGTAGCTGTTAAATTGAAAACTACCGCTTCTTGACATCACAAGGTAGAACAGAGCATTTTGAGCTTTGAAGACAAGTAAAGGATTACTCAAACATGTGAATGAAACAACTCCAGGTATGTTTTGAATGAGTTAACAATATTATCACATGGCTTAAAGCGAGAGATAATTTTGCATAATATTGGACTTTTAAGATAGTTTTTGATGGATTGCTAAAATATTGTCTCATTATCATCACTGGGATCATAATAAAAGTAAAGAAAATCAAGATCTTCACTTTTGTCAGTGTTGAAGAGTGATGTCTACAATCCAGTTTTGCCTTCATCCCCAAAAGATTTGCTGCTCTAAATTGTCCTTTTAACCTGGATGTTGTTGTATTGACTTGAGTTTTCCTCTCTTGCTCTGCAGCAGGTGGTGTCAGCCGTGCGTTCAGGAGTCAATCCCTCCGGAAACTCTGTGAACCAGTCGAGCCTGTGGGACCTGAGCTCCTCGTTCTTCTTCGCTGGAACAGTCATCACGACCATCGGTGAGAGCGGTGCCCCCAGTCCCAGTGCAGTCATTACTCCTGCTCCACTCACTTTTGGCCTGCAGTGTACTCCTGCTGTTTGTTGTTTGGGAGTAGAGCCAAAGGAAATCAAACATCCAAGTTGCCTCATGACTTTCCAATAACAAGCTGTCTACATCCAGCTGTTTACTTTTGTTTAATACGTGCATAGACCACTACTAATGCTACTACCATTACTACCACTACTACCACCATAGTAGCTGCTCTACACGCTCTTTCACAAGGATTTTATTTTTCTCGCATTCAAATCTTTGCCATACCATATCACCAGGCCATAATTTTGATACCACAATAAATGACAATAAAAACACTTTCATTACCACATGGTCTTATAATAGTTCTCATAAAGATCGAATCCATTATCAAACTACTTATTAAAATTAAGTTTTGTATTATTTATGCTTTTTCAGTATCGATAATACTTGTTTAAATGAGTGTCTGGTTTTTGATACTAGTTTAATCTGTGTATCATTCGTTCATTCATTTTTCAAAATAAAACCAAAAATAAGAAAAAGAAAAAACTATTTTATTCATTATTTGTCGCCAAAACCAAAATGAAAAAAACTGATAACGGTTTGTTTTTTCAGTTTTCAATTTTGTGTTTAAATTAATGATGGAGAAAACGGATAACAGTCGTTTCCCGCTTCCATGACTTAAACTGCGATGCCAGACTTTTGCACCGCATACGGACTGAACCAGGACTAAAACATGTCTAAACCAGGTCTAAACCGGTTGCAGTCCTGGTCTCAGTCCCAGTATGGTCCCAGTCTCAATCCTGGTCTGATCCTGGTCTCGTCCCGGTTTGGTCCTGGTCTCGTCCCAGTCTCAATCTTGGTCTCAGTCTTGGTCTCAGTCCCGGTCTGGTCCCAGTCTGGTCCCGGTCTCAATCCTGATTTTGGTCCCGGTCTTAGTCCTGGTCTGGTCCTGATCCTAATCCCGGTCTTAGTCCTGGTCTGGTCCTGGTTCCAGTCTCAGTCCTAAACCAGGACTAATAAATTAGAACTGAACCAGGACCAGGAGTGTCGGAAATGGGAAACGGCCATTATCCATTTAAACACAAAATCAAAAACTGAAAAAACTTTTTTTTTTTTTTTCCATTTTCATTTTGGAGACAAATAATGAAGAAAATAGTTGTTTTTTCATTTTCTTATTTTTAGTTTTATTTTGAAAAATTTATGAACAAATGATACATGGATTTAGTTTTGGTACTAATTCTTATCTGGATATTGTTTTTTGGTGCTAGTCAGTTCAGTCTTAAAGCAGACCTATTATGGAAAGTCACCTTTTTAGAGTTTTTAACCATGTTATAGTTGTTTCCCCCCTCACCATTTAATTCCCCAAAGTTGTATGTAGAGTGATCTGTGCAATCTTTAATCTCTTAAAACACCATTTGGCAGATCAACCCCTTTTCACCAGCATTGGTATACGTTCACTGCTTTTATTTTCTCAGTCGGTGGTCCGTGTAGGATTTGGCAGGGTTGAATAGTCATTTTGGCACAAATGAAAACAATCTGCCACTCACTAGTCATGTGATGTGCAGCTATCTATAGGAGGTGATGACAAATCCATGTCTCTTAATTATGATGACGTGTATTACGACCTTAGCTCCCATTGGTCACCACAGTTTTCTAATAGAGGAGCGAGCTGATGTGTTTCTTTTATTAAGTCATTTTAGATGATTATGGCAATTTAAAATGTCCAAATTATGACATAATGATCCACGGGTTTCATAGATTATAACTGTACAGCAGTCACAAGAACAATAGGCCCTCTTTAACACATTATTTTGTACTATTTTTTTTTCTTCAGCTGACACTTAATGCTCCTATCAGGACTGTGTCACTTGAACGCTACACAATGACTGTATCGCTGTAATGCTTTCTTGTGCTTATGACAAGAGCTTTGTGCGTCACTCTAACTGTGCTACAGAGATTGACATTTGCTTTTTTCTCTGAATATGGGTTAGTTTCTGCTTAATGAATGTGCTGTCATCATATGTCTTTTTATTATTCAGTGTGAGACTGCAGCATACCACCTGCTCTGCCTCTATTCCTCTTGAAGCTCATAGGAGTGCCCATGTTATAATATATATTCATACATAATAACAATTCTCTTACAAATATCAGTGCATTTTTAGGAAACTGTATATAGAGAAATGTTCTTGGTTTAGTGATCCATGTACATTAGCTTGAACTCATCCTGTAGACTGGAGCTGAGTAAAACGCATTGGTCACAGTCACTGCATGCTGAAATAAGAATTGGACTGGTTTCACTTCCAATTTTTTGAGCTGGAAGAAGTACAGTACAAATGTAGACTTTAAAAAAATCAAATTCTTACACAGAAAGTAAAACCAAATTCTACTGGATCTTAACAGTGGTGGGTGTGAGCGTTAAGTTGTTTCTTAGTTACTCATTCACTGGTGTTTTAGGGTGCTTTTCTTGTTGTAGTTTGGCTTGAGTTCAGTTTAGTCCTGATGAAGACTTGCTTTGATCTAGTCTTGGTTTAGTTTAGCTCCAAATCATCTCTGAGTTTAGTCCAAACTCTAATGCAATGCGTGTGAATGTACCCTTAGTTGATAGTTATTATTATTTTATTTAGATTTACATAGATTTGATTAGATTTGAAAAGAGAAGTCGTAGAGTGAGGGTGAATAATGAGTTTAGTCTCACTCACTGGACAGTTACGAGAGATTACATCGCAGCTCCTTATAGATGACTGATCGATGTACAATCTGTAGGCAACCAATGATTTTTGTCAAACATTGGAAAGGGCCTTCTGGATCTGAAAGCTTCCATTGATTGATTTATTCCCATTCATCTACCAGCACTGTCGCAATAAATATATAAATGTTTCATTAAATATCTGAAAGATGGAACAATAAATTAGTATTCCGTATTTGTACTTTTTCTTAGTACTAATGGTGATTTTTTTTTTGTTGTCATTTTTCTGTACTATGAAAATATTTGAGCCTTACAGGGTCAATTACTGTACATATCTCACCAATTAAGTACTTAAGTATTTAATTCTGCTATTTAGTTATCTATTGCAGTTCTTGTTTTTATCTAAATGGCACAAAGGTCAAATTACTTTGTACAGATGCATCAAATCCTTGGCAAAGTCGTTCTATTAAATTTTATCATGAGCGAAAAACATCTAACCTTAGCTGCTGTGACTTTAAGTGACTTTTATAGACTAAAGGCGTTATCGATCATACTGAAGTGCTGATGTTTTTATTAAGAAAGGTTTGCTGAAGTAGGGTAAAAAAACTGCTTTAAAAATGCTTTCGTTTCTCTTGTATAGTTCAGTTGGCTCAGGTTGCCTCTCTGTAAATTTTACCCCGAAAGCTTTGTGATGTGAAATGAAAAAGTCTTATTTTAGCACAAAGAGAGCAGAGGGCTTTTTCCGCTGCCAGATGGTGATCCGAGCGAATACCTTTACTGCTTGGTACAAAATGTTCACTTCCTGCCACCTCTGTTGTGCCAACGATCATAGTGTCTTCAAGGTTAAAATTAGATAGAGGAAAAGCATTGAAGGAAAACAACAGAGAGGCGGCCATTACTGTAGCTACATGGTGTCAGACCTGTCAGTTTCACTCAGGCTTCAGCCCATTCACCTGCTGCTCTGAGGAGCCGCACAAGTGGAAATGAATAATTAGATATAGGAGACACAAAGTAAACAACACAAGCTTGCACTTAAGTAAATAATGAACTGGAACACTGTAGTCTGCTCTCGAGGGAAAAAAATGTATTATTCAAAAGACAAGTCTGAACCTACACACATCCCACCACTGTCAATACAAACCTAGTCAGACAGTTAGTCATACCATCAAAAGCACTAATTTTGATAAAACAATGTTATTCTGCTCTCATTGTTTAAGGAATGAGCTACCATTACCACCTGTGAGGTTATGAAGTGGTAGTTTTCGAGCTAACAGCTACCTTTGGTTCAGCAGAGAGTGACAAATATAGGGCTGAAAATATCCAAATGATTCTAGTGAAGGTGTATGGAGTTTAAAAACACAGTGGAGCACTACATGTATTACCAAATATGCGGGGTGTGTGTTAAACATGTGTGAATGAAACAAAACACAACATTATAACATAAATCCAAAAATAGCATAATGTGGGTCCTGTAAAAAAGGGTTGCTAACATATAATCACAGGGAATATGATGTGTGTTTTTTAGCAACAGGTGCAGCATTTCTTTTTAAAAATCTGACTTTTTTCATTGCATGGTAGTTTACTCTAGCCTGATTGATCAGCCGGTTTCACTTCATAGAAACCATCTGACCTCGCAGAGTTAGGACTTATTAGGCAGTAGGCAGGTACTTTTTTCATTTAACCAATCACTGCTATTTGGTCCTGACATATGCAATGCTCCGCTTGATAAAATTCACCAAACATTCTCTTTGTTCTGGCTTTAAATCCTCGATCTCAGGAATCATTGCAACACAGAATATATGGTTCTTCGCTGATTGGCTGGTGCCTGAACTCGCATTTCCAGGGTTTTTGCAAACTGTCTAGTGTATTCTGATTCCTGACCTAGTTACTGGAGAGAAATGAAATTGCGCGAAGGCACTAGGTGGCGCCTGCCTGGGTAAGTTTGCGCTTCTATCCCATCAGATAACAATAAGCCTAAACTAAAATATTTTTATTTAATCGTTAAGTACAAGCTCTTAGGTTGATTAAGAACCAATTCTAGGTTGATTAAAGGTGGGTTGATTCAGGAGGGCTGATTAAGAAGCAATTAAAACATCGACCTGGTCAAGAGGTGGTAGCGCAATAAGCAGAGAAACAATCCAGTCTATATTAGATAAACAGAGAGAAATAATATGAAAGAGCCATTGAAGGATGACTTAAAAGCAGCTAATGGGATCAAAGTATATCTCCATAATAATTCTCTGTGTATCTCTTTAAATACATCTCACTTAAATGTAAATAATGAACTGGCACAGTGCTGTCTTCGGCTCTCCTCTGGTCCTTCACATGCATTATTAAAATCTATTGTGCAAAGTTATCTATCTTTGTGAGCGGATAATGTCAAAGTCAATTACTGCTCTCCATGCTTCTCTTATCTGTGTAAAACCCCCGTGCCCTGCATACATTATGAGCTCTGCGTTGTACATCATTGTTCTTCATTTGTGAATAATTAAATACATATGAAATGGCTATAACCTACACATTAATGCAGTCACTGCTAATGAGTTGAGAGGTAATTGTTAAGCTTTTATTGGTCACCGTAGAGACACAACCAGGTCCTCTGCACGCACACTAATGATTACATCAGGCTCTGTGGAAAACATGAATTAGATGAGTTCAAGCACAGTTTGTGGTTAAGAAGGGCTAAAGAAACATAAATGCTGACTGATGGATTTAGAAAGAGCCAGTGAGATAGCTTTTGTGATAATGAAGTCTGGTCCATTCCACGGTGACACAGTATGATTAAAGGTAACTGTAGCATCGACTTGAGAAGGCCAGAACTGATGGTTAAATGACTTTTAATCTTTTCCTTGTCATGTCATAGAACCAATGTAAGAGCCAGACAAGAACAAATTAACAGAAGTTACCATATGATCACCGTATCACTAGCTCGTTACATTGTTTAACTGTTATCCATATTTTAACATAAATTCAAATCTAATTACAAGAAGCTCAAATATACATTCACAAATAAATCAAACCTTGTTCCCCTGTCGACTGTTGCTATCTTTCAATTTTTTATGTAACTTTTCACCGTTGTTTTTGTTTTTCACCATTAACATTGCTGTGTTTACGTTGCGTCTTTTCTGTACACCAAGCTAATGTTTTTACCATCACTTCTGCTCACACAGGAAGTCACCAAAATAAAAGCGTAACCTTACTATTAAATGCCATGAACTGTATGTTAATGCATGTAAGAGCTAACTTGACCTTAAAGTAACTATAACGCTCTACCAACTGAGGTACTGTGAAAGGAGGATCAGAACAGACTGGGAAATGGAGCTGAACTGGTGATAACGTGTAAACAATGAACAGAACTGTGATAGCAAATATAACTGTCAGTGTGAATGGACCAATGTCAATTTAATGCTGGTAAACAAATCGCTGCGATAGCAACAATGGTCCATAAAGCTAAATATAGCATAATCCACTCTCTATGAATAAAGCATTAAACTGCAGTAAAAGGGTCTACCGTATATAACGTTATTTTCTAGTCTGTGCTCTAATGTTGTTTCCTCATCAAAAACATGTCTGGAGTTGTGTTTTGTTTAATTTACACATGTTACAAATCCTACATATTTCTTGTATGTTCTTCCCTCAAACGGAAAACACACTGTTCCACCTTGTGATGTCATGTGGTAGTACAGGAAGTGCTACACTGGTTTTATAAACTCCATACAACTTCACTAGAATTATTTGATGATTTCAGTGGATGATTTCAGCCCTGGAATTGCCAATCTTTACTGAACAAGAGGTAAAAGAAGCTGTTAACTTGAAAACCACTGCTGGACTTCTACTTTTTACTTAGACTTGAGAAATAATTTTTTGAAGCAACGTTACTCTTAATTTAGTACAATTTGTGGCTATTTTAGACAATTTTCATGGACATCAGTGATGGTGAGTGGAACTTTGCATTTTGAGCGTTGAAGATGTAAACAGCATAATAATGGATTACTCAAACATGTGGGAATGGAACAAAGCACAACTCCAGGTATGTTTTTGAGGAAGTAGCAACAGTATGACATGGCTGAAAACTCTCAAGAATCTATTTTGTGTAATATAGAACCATAAAGTGATGCTGGATAGTTTTGGCAACAATAGTTCAGAGACATAGAAATAGTAATTGTTTGCTGAAACTATCTGGGTTATATTAATTAGATTTAGAATTAAACAAACTTTTTCTGATCCACGATGGAAATTACTTGGAGTACAGTAGCTCACACATCAGAATATACTATAATAACAAAAGAGAAATGGTAATATATTGAAATAGCACTTTTGAAATGCAGTAGTCCTATTTCTGTTTGAAGTTCATTATGCATTTTATACAGTTGACCTCAATGAGACAGCTAAGCATTTCATATTGTTATTTTGAATTGATAATATCATAACCGCAGGGACTGTGATGGCAGGATGTGTTGAACCACTCCAGTTTCCTGACGCTCATTAAACTAATCATGAAATGAGTGGGCCTTGATTGAGGGTTTGCTCACGGAGAAACATGTTGTGACGGTAACATGTGGCTTTTGAGAGACTCGCCACAGCAGCTCAGCACAGACCTGAATACATAAACACACACAAAAATTATAAGAAACTTAGATAGAAACTTTGTCATGTTTAAAAATGTTATATAGACATTGTTCATTGTTCTCTGTATGTTGTCCCTTCATGTGAAATAGGCCTGCTTCTTTCATGAAGATGGTATCAGACATTTTTTAGATATCTTTTGGACACCTTGTCTTTGGTTTTTCACATTACATAACATAAAATAAAAGGAATTCTGCCCTGTTTCTGATTGCACACTGAGGAGAGCAGTAGAAATAAGGCTCAAAGTGGTAGCTGCTAGAATATAAAATTAGTGAATTCATTTTTAACATGATCCAAATGAGACTGGTGAAAGGATATGTACTTTAAAACAGAGGAACACTGTCTGGATTACCACCTTGATTACCCACATGTTTTGAGCTCTGGAGTGTGAGGCAGGCTATATATTTAGGATTACAAATTAACATGTTTTTGCTGAGGAAACATTACACATTATATAGTATTTATAACAATATGTTCTCTTTTGTTCTCTCCTTTGATGCAGGATTTGGAAACATCTCCCCTCACACAGAAGGCGGGCGGATCTTCTGTATCATCTACGCTCTGCTCGGGATCCCCCTCTTTGGCTTCCTTCTGGCTGGAGTGGGAGACCAGCTGGGCACCATATTTGGGAAGGGCATCGCCAAAGTGGAGAAGATGATTGTGGTAAATCATTCTTCTAGCTTCTGAATGACAAATAGTGCTTATACCTTTCCTGTTTAGTGTCATGAGCCCAGTGAGTATTAGTGCAGACTTGTTTGACATTAGTTTGACATTAGTTATTACAACAGTTACCATGAAATGAATATTTACAATGTCTTTCTGACTTCTCCCCCTATTTTAGGAACTGAAAAATCGTATATAATAAATCACTGTGCCTAATTGGCCCGAGTCTGTGATAAACCTTACTAAAAGAGTGAGTTTGTGCATGTGTATTTTTAGCCACAAGTGAAGTAAACATTTCTAAAACCTTTTACTGTATAAACAACTGGAGGCTTTCATTTGTTGTTCCATTTGTTGTGTAAATACCATTTGGTTTTAATTAGATTTAGCTCCAAAGCTAATCAGGTTGTCATGTAGAAGAACAACAAGAGCTTATCTAAAACACACAGTGGAAGGGCAGGCTGCAGTTGAGATGAACACAATTCACTCTGACTTTATAAAGACATATAGGAAGCCTGGGCCCGGTACACTGGGGCTGATAAACTCGTAATAAAATGTCAGTGTAATCAAATGGCTGCAGTGCACATAGCTCTGTAAAGATAACATTTGACAAGAGCAATGGCCAATTCTGACTATCCAATTTACAACACCCCATTTAAACTCAATTCAATGTACTCTGTATTGAGCTGGCCTTTTGTTAAGAGCCTCTACAAACAAGTCAAAGAGACGATGGTATCGCAAAATATCATATTTTACAATGTTCCGTCATTCATATAGTAATTATTATATATATTCTTCTGAAAGACTACTGAATCTATTGTATATTCAGTCAATAACAAGTGTATTGCAAAAAGAAAACACCTGTAAAAACATGAATTTTTACTGAGAACAGGGATGGCTCTCCACAGATCTTACCTGTAACATGGCCTGCTTGATAATAGTATATTTAGTGCCATACGATGCAACATTCCAGCTAAAGCTTTTTCATCTCCATGGAGACAAGCAGATGGCCTCCTGTACTGATTAAAGGTATAAGAAAGGTATCGAATCACCTCAAAATAATTCCTCTAAATTGCCACAAGGTGCGATCCCAGTTATTATTTTTTCTGTCATGTCCCCAACCGTGCAAAGACATTGATTTTTCACAGGCTTTATTTTAAACTGTGTGTTTATACTGTAGAGGATGACGGATGGTGTTTCTCTGTGAGGGTTATGTGAGGTAGAGCTCAGAGTTGATTACAAAGCAAAGGTTTGTTGTTTTTCTACCTGCCGTCATTTCACTCTGTTGTCTCCACCTGGCTACACAGGAGCTGTAATCAAACCATTCGCACAAGAGGCATGAGCTCCAGAGTTCAAATACATTTTAGAATTGTTCTTTATGGTACATGTCCAATTTCACGGAAAACAACATTTAGGCAGGTACAAATATTTTGTATTTTCTTGCACAAATTGTTTCTTTTGTTTAATATCATTATAATTATTATTATTTGGGCTGGAAGTTATATCTAAATCAAATTCAAATCCAACTGTGAACAAGAAAACTGCAAACACTTCAATTAATTTCCTGTATAAACCCCTTTAACCCTTTAGTTTAGTAGTCTGATTCATCAACCGGTTTCACTTCGTGGAAATTGTCTGACATCGCAGCATTAGGATTCGTTTGCTTGATGGTAGGCAGGTACTTTTTTTATTTAACTAATCACTGCTATTTGGTTGTGACATATGTAATGCGCTGCTAACAGGGTTAACTCGTATATTAAGCTTTTCCCAAATCCCATATAGGAAGAAAGGCAATAACGTCTTTCACCTTGATAAAATTCAACAAACATTCTCTTTGTTCCAGTTTTAAATCCTCGATCTCGGGAATCGTTGCCAACACAGAATGCATGGCTCTTCGCTGATTGGATGGTGCCCAGACTCGCACTTCCGACATTTTTGCAAACCGTCTAATGTATTCCGATTCCTGACCTAGTCGCTGGAGAGAAATGAAATTAAGTGGAGGCACAAGGTGGCGCCAGCGTGGTGGCTAGTAGTTTAGGCCTCTACAAATATGTTCTGAAATATATTGGGTTGTCTTAGTTAGTTCATACTTTAACTGAACATTGAATTGAAATTGCAATGCAAAAAATAAATAAATAAATAACACAATCGTAGCAGTGATATTAAGCATTATTAAGATCTTGATTTGGTCTTTATTGGTTTTTGTGCCTGTAGTATACAGTATGGATATTCCACAAATGATGTACAGTGGCCAAGTGCTCTTTTGTTTGTCGGTGAGGAGGTTGTGGTTTTGAAGCTTCTTTCTTTAATACTTTTTCACTTCCTATCCTCATTTATCATGCTAAATCTGGCTGCTAGAACTGGATTCTGCCACCAAACCATATTTAGTATGTTACATAGTATATGAAACCTTGATCTATGAGGAGATGAATGAATTTTGAAGTGGAGAAGATGTGTATTCTTGTGACAAACTTTCACAATGTATATCATCTGTAGTCAACTAAAAAGCAGTCGTAAAATATTGCATCTGACTTTTCTGTTTCGCAGTCCAGTGGAGCTGAAACAAGCAGGCACTGGGCTAATAACAGGTGAACGATGATAGTGATGTATGGATGCCTTTGTGTTGTACGTCTCGAGGGATGAGATGAAGGAGGAAGGGGCTTTTGTTCAAATGGTCCAACAAATGAAGTGTGGTCTCAGCTAAAGGGAAGGCCGTGTACTGAAGATATGGCAGTATACGTCCCAGGGGAATATATTAATGCTTATACAACCTCCTTCAGATTTACTGCAGTTGTATTGTGCTCAGTCTAAATGCTGTTATTGCCAAATAGTAATGCTTCAGCAGTTGTTGTGAATGTTCACCCACAAACTCAAAGCTTGGCAGTCCAATACCAGCTTCAGCTAATAGTGTAGTTGTGTCCATGAGTCGAGCATGTCACCCACCTTGCCTACTGTATGTATTATTGTAATGCTGTGTGTGACTAGGAGTTGGTTGGGGGAGGCCCATGTTACAGGTTGGTTGCCATGTTTCTGCCGTTAAGCCCCATGGCAGCTGTGGCTACAGAATTGTTGGGAGTGTTGAAGCATTGTAAAGCACCTTGGGTAGTTCAGGAAAGTTGCTGTGCATCCAAGGCATTTCTTCTTTTGTTTTTTGTTTTTTGTGGCCAAACTTCAGAAGCTATGCAGGGTTGGGTCTAGGTAGTATTTGGATGGAAGACCACTGGGAACGGCAGGTGCCACAGTGAAGTCCCATGACCTTAATCCACTTTACCTTGTATGCATGTGGAGTACACATGATGGTGTTTGGAGGGGCTGTTGGCACCGATTGGCAGCCTCGCTTTCATCAGTCTAAACCAGCTTACCACCACCGATCATGGAGTGAATGAACACTGTCTAGAACTGCACAATTCACATCTTTCATTACTACACTATATTACTACATATTACCACTTCTTATTCTTGTGTAATGTTAGTCATGTTAGTAACTGTGGTATTAGTAATAAAACAATCACTAGAAGTTTAGACTAAAAGAGTGAACCAACATCCACTCTGTAATTCAAAAAAATAATATATGAAAATAAAATATATACATTTCCAAAATGTTTACATGTTTACTTGCTGACAGCTAAGGGGCCATTCTTCTATCCTGCTGATGCAGAGTGAGCTGCCACTGGAGTTCAGTGCTTAGAGTGAAGATTGTGATCTTTAAGCTTCTCCTCCGAGGCCTTACATAAGCAGTGAAGGGCAGAAGGCAAAAGGGAGGCAGGTGAGAGTGCTCAGAGCCAGCAGCATGCACGTCATCAGACCCACAGCCTCAGAAACAAGACAAAGTACAGTTACATGTGTGGTTGGGACGCATCTGACAAACAATGATGAGAAGAGACAGCAGTTAAATACTCCTCAGGTAAAAAGAACCAATTCAGACCTATATGAAAAATCTTGAGGGAAATCATAGACGGGGAAACAGACATTGTGCAATCAAGTGGCAATTTCCACCAGCTCCATTATGGCTGCAGATGAAACAGAAATAAATTGGCCACTTGAAAACAGTGATTATACTTTCTAATAGGATTGCTAGTATTAATTTGTTGAAAGTTTTAACTTACAGTTATTTCCAGAGCTGAGAAGTGGATGTTTGTCTACAAGGATTTCTGGAGATGTTCAGTGGTTGTTAGATAGCAGGTTTGGTATTAATGTTAAGAGTTTATTCTATTAACAACAATAACAACAGTAAGTTGAAGAATAGTAAAATTTATTGAATAAAGGCATTGTGTCCTTGGCCAAGAAATTTGCTATGAATACTCTGGTGTATGAATGATGCCTGCATGAGTGCACAAGCCTATATGTGACAGATTGTGGGGAGTTTGTTAGTTTTTTTACATTGACTAGTTTCTGATCCTTTTGATTGACACCTCTGTACCCCTGACAGTAAGCGCTCTGGACACTGGCTGCAGCTGTTTCTGTTTCTCATGAGTTTGCCTTGTTGTTTCAGAAGTGGAAGGTGAGTCAGACCAAGATCCGGGTAATCTCCACACTCATCTTCATCTTGTTCGGCTGCCTCCTCTTCGTTGCTCTGCCGGCCGTCATCTTCAAACACATCGAGGGCTGGAGTGCGCTGGAGTCCATTTACTTTGTGGTCATCACACTCACCACCATTGGATTTGGAGACTTTGTGGCTGGAGAGAAAGGTAACCAATACCAGTAATTTTTATGTCACTTTAGTCAATCAGCAAAGTAGATTTTTTTTTGACTATTTATGCAACTATTAAGGTGAGACACTACATGTTTTTTTAGTTATCAGTTTGCTCTCTCAATATATTCATGTGGAAATAATCAATAATAATCATCCGACCACCTACAGCTCTGATCTATGTTATAATGTTATTTCCTCATTACAAACATACCTGGAGTTGCTTCATTCACACATGCTTAACACACAAACCCTGCATATTCAGGCTGAGTTCTTCTCTCAAATAGAAAACACTCTGTTCCACTTTGTGATGACAATTGACAATCTTGAATTTCTATTAGCCTAACCCATGGATATTGTCAGTGCATTAGTCGATGTAGCTGAAGTGCCTATGTAAGCTTTATCAATTTTATCATGGTCGGTGGGCACTTAAACACTTAACCCCCTGTGCCCCTGTTATCACATAAATATTACATAAGTCTATACGTTCTATTTTAGTCTTTGCTCAAATTACATTTTCACTGTGAATTATCTTGGTCTGACTCAGCTGTTGGGCACTGCTGCCATGAGGCTCAGCTTAGATTATGCGCTCTGACATATTTTCCGAATGCTTCTCCAAGCCCCAAAATATGTTTAACTCCACCATCTGTTGAACTAAGAAAAAAACATAAATGTTATCATCGACTGTGAAATCAGCATGATATGCCTAAACAATATTCCCACCTGTTTTGTGGTCCTATTTGTTTCATATGTTGTGGTATATTATTATGATGTACATGGAAGCAGATGGACTCTACCTGATAAGGAACAGTGGGGAGACAGATGGTAAAATTCACAAACATAAGTGGATAGATTAAATTTCCCTGGGCAGGCCTAATGATTATAGATCAGATTAGTGCACCTGCGTCAACACCGCTGTTACAGTAAACTAATCAGGGTCTGTTAGTTAAAATGGACCATTATCTCAGTGGTGTGCTGGTGATTTCACAAAGATATTGCTTGTCATGGGGGCCAAGGATTAATATGTGTGTGGATTTGTGAAGATAACTGTTGTATGATGGCCTGGAAGTGCTATATGTAACTTGAATGGGGGAAATCATTTCATGATCTTATTGATGTTAAAGTGTATGTGTCATTGTTGTGGATGTTACTTACGTAAAGGTGCACTGTGTCTGTCCACCTGCTTGTCCCCATGAGATGTAATTGCTTGGCCTTGAATGGTTATCTCAAGTTACTGGTCAGAAAAACGAGCCTGCACATAGTAAGAATTCATGGTTTTCAAGGTATTTTTGAGCTATAAAACATCCGCAAGTGTGTACATGCAAGGCAGATTAATTTGATGCCATACTGTGGAACATTCCATGCCAAGAAATATGTCCATGGAGACATGCAAGTAGCCAGCCCGCCACCTTAGAAGTTACATAGTGCACCTTTAAAGTCCATAATTGCACAGAATGTAGAATGTGGTACATAATTTAGTATACTCTTGATAGAATAAAGATGGCATAAATCGGACACATTTTTTGATAATTAAATATACACTATGAAACATTTCTGGTTAAAATGTGATGCTAGCATGCCAGAGAAACTGATAGAAACTCTCCACCAGAAAGTTATATAATATACCATTAAAGTGTAACAATGCAGACCAAATAGCATTCTTTCATTTAAAGGGTCTGTCTGAAAATGAATTTTGGACCCAGACATCTCTCTGCACAGAATGTATGTACATATAGAATTGTTAGGACAGTCAACATCTACCCAGACATTTCCCCCAAACAATGTTATTATGTTTTTTTAAAGTTTTAATCCATGTTGAATATAATCTAAAAGTCTTAAAACTGTTGTAGGTAACACTGACCTCCACATCCTCTTCTTCGTCTTGTTGATGTCAGGTGTAAAGTACCAATTGTGTCTGATGTAACTGTGTTGTGTAACCCACTTGTCCTGTGTTTTGGCCTGTTTAGGCGGGTCAGAGAGTCCCTCCGGAGGGTCAGCGGAGATCCATTTTTACCTGGACTATTACAAGCCCGTGGTCTGGTTCTGGATCCTGGTTGGTCTGGCATACTTCGCTGCTGTGCTCAGTATGATCGGAGACTGGTTCAGAGTCATCTCCAAGAAAACTAAAGAAGAGGTGCGTGCCATGAATACAAATGTTACATAATACAGTAGAAGCAGTGAGTGGGAGAGGTGAAGGATTGTTGCGGCTCTTAGGTTTGAATAGAAAGTAGCCTACATACTGGATTTTGAAATGCCTAAAGCCTGTTTGTCATAGTATAGGAATGTGTGCTGAGCATTTCGCCATGTTTTATCACGGTTTGATACATGAGTGCATTTTCTCAGCAGCAAAATATTACTAGTTGTGTATAAAAACATACATAATATTGCATTTAAATCTTAGAATATCGCTATTGTCAGACCTCTCTTTTGCAATTACTATTTAATTTGGTCTGTATATATTCAACAACAAATAGTTTGCACAAACCAAATTAAAGGTTTGCATTTGAATTTGACCAATTTTGTCTTCACATGACAAAGACGCTAATATGCCATTTACCATTGTTATTTTACTCTTTCGTCATAGATACTGACAACTAAAGATTCACTATCCCAAACATGCACAGTAGGTAAAATCCTCCAGTCCTGACCAAGTCTAGCAACAAGATCATGAAGATGGGTCCCTGAACACTCACTGCTTCTGTAACACACTCATTCCCATTTAGGGATGGGATAATGTAGAGGACAATTTCCCTACAGGACACTAAAGTATTCCTCAAAGGTGCACTGCGTAACATTTCTAGTGGAGGATCTGCCACCTGCTTGCCTCCATGGAAATTTTATTGCTTTGTCTAGAATGTAAGAGAAAGCAGGTTACAACACTACTACGATGGAATTATTGTACTTTTGAACAACAGAAGCATCCGTAATGAATAAATACTAGGTGGATATGTGTAATGTCATACCATGGAACATTCCAGGGGAAACAATAACATCTCCATGGAGACAACTAGGTAGCAGACTCTCCAGAAAAGTTGAGCAGTGCACCTTTAATTTTAATTTACTGCAATTTGTGATTAATACAAATGGTTGCCTTCCCAAATTGGAGAACATTATTCACATGGAGTTAGAAATAGTACTTGGATACTACTGGCAACTTTTTTTGATTAATATTGATGCATTGTAAATGAGGTAACCTTTATGCCATAGCTGATGAGGCGCATTCATTATTTTTTCAAACAAAACATGAGCAAAAACAGGCTCTCTCTCTCTCGCTGACCTGATCAGCCAGTGGAGGTGCAGTGGCAGAGGTCCTCATTAGTCCAGTGCTTCAGGATCCATGCAGAGAATGTGTCAGTCTGAGGTAAAGATTTAAGAAAGAAGAGTAAAAAAAAGAGGAGAGATACATGCTAAAGGTCGACTTTGAACCTTTCAGATGTTAATGAATAAATAAACAGCCCTGAGGAACAGAAGGAGGCATAAGGCATCATGAAAGAGAAATCAATGCTGTTTCTCTGCCTGTGTTTTATTGAGATTTAAAGACTAGCAGAACTAGCATAATGTTGAGAAACCTGTTTTTGAGAAGTCAAATCGAACTATATCAACTGTGGAAGTTCATATCTTAAACCATCATGAAAATTTAAGGAATTATTTTGGCTCAAATTTGGAAAGATCTTGGTTGACATAGAATAGAGAAAGTAGTTTTGTGATTCTCTAAACACCCAATTATTTAAGGTTCTTTTACTGTTGTTTAATGTTTTAATAACCCTCTCATATTGCTGAATTGCCTTTACCCTAATTGCTTCTTTTTCTGATTGCATAAAAGTGTAGTTTGCACTTTTATGGGGCAGAAACTGTGCACAATATTATTTTTAAAGGCAGTTGTGGATAGTGCTGTTTCTAAGCATATTTCCAAATATCGAGTGGGTGGAAAGTGGTAAAAGCAGGAATTAGAGCCAACAAAAGGACAATACAGAATTTATATAGCGCTTATTAAAGTAAAAAGTTGCCTCGTCATGGTACTACTACTGAACTGTAACCAGGGATATGGTGTTTTTGTGATTCATCACTATACAGTTGTAACGATACAAAAATGTTAACATTTTACTAAATAAAAAGTTGATATTTGTTACCGCAATTACTTTTTAGAAAATAGAATATCATTTTCAACACAAAATAATAAGGGTTGTTTATTTTTCTATTACCATGCTGTCTTCTACTAATTCTGAAATAGACCAAGCTATCAAAAACTATTCATGAAAAATCCAATGTTGTTTTATTTACTTTTTTCCAGTATTGATATTGTTCAAATGAGTTTCTAGTTTTTATACTAGTTTTAGAAATGATCAGTGGGTATCGACTTTTTGACAGTCTTAATTAATATTCTGTCAGTAAATTACTACATTATTTCTAGTCTACAACTCTGTTCTGTTATAATGAAATCGAAGTAGTACTTTCATCCTGACCCCTTTCTGTCTTGTTGGTGGTCAGGTGGGGGAGTTCCGGGCGCATGCTGCCGAGTGGACCGCCAACGTGTCAGCCGAGTTCAAGGAGACCCGGCGGCGCCTCAGTGTGGACATCTATGACAAGTTCCAGCGCGCGGCGTCCATCAAGCGCAAACTGTCATCTGAACTGGGCATCAACGCAACACTCAACCAGGAAATTACCCCGGGCAAAAGAACCCTGTCTGTTAACCTGGGGGACGAGCGCGAGTGTTACCCCAACCTGACTCTGCCCCTTACCCCTGTCCCCGGAGCCCTGACCAGGAACGGGAGCCTATATCTCAATGGACTCAGCCCAGACTATGCTGTGGAACGCAGAGAAATACCTGGCATGGACAGTCTCAAATAAGAAAAGAGAAAAAGATACACCATTGGGAGTTAGAGTTAGAACTGTTTGATTAACTGAACACTGAAGGATATTCGAACTGGATTATAAGGAAAAAAAAAAAGCAACTATCACGAGGAACTGTGAAAGCCATTACCTACATGAACAGTTTATGTGCCAACTACTGTATATCAAAAGAACACTTTGATACTGGACTGAAGATTGTATTAAAGAACTGAAACATAAAAGCATCTAAATAATAAAACGTAGCAACAACATCATAGATCAGGCATAACACTGTGACAGTTAAATGGACTTGACTACTTCACGAGGTAGGATAAATGTAACGGCGAATGCGCATGTTGTCAAGTTGTGCCAGAGCCAGGGATAATGAGCAAGCACACAGTTGAGTGGTTGTCAGAGGAGTGGGTTAGAAAGATAAAGATATTAAAATGCTGCTCTGATGGGGTGGTCCCAGGGAGAAAGTGGTGAACCAGCCAAGTGTTTTTATGCAAAATTGACTTTTTAGTATTCAGAAACCTACCTAGAGTTGTGTTTTGTTTCAGTCATCCCAGAAATCTTCATTGCAATAAACACAAACATTAAAATCACGCTTTAGTCTATATTTTGGCTAAAAAGTGACATACTGGGACTAAAAATATGCATTATGTAACTTTTTGGTTGGGGGTCCATCACCTGCTTGTTTCTATGGATATGTCTGTTCTGTCTAGAATGTTCCACAGTATGACATTAAACAGTTCTAACTTGCATTTATTCAATTATAGAGTCTTATTACTCAAAAATACAGAGAAAAACAGGCATTCTGGCTATGAGCAGAGTTGCCTCTTCGCAGATCTGACTCGTAACTTGTCCTGGTTTGATCGCCATACTATGAAACATTACAGCCAACCAATAACATCTCCATGAAGAAAATCATTTAACAGACCCTCCACTAGAAAAGTTACAATGTACCCTTAAGTTATGTTTTAGATTTCATCATTTACAGTATATTGCTGTTCTAGAGATGACAGTTTTTTAGATTGGGAAAGACAAGTATACAAAACCTCCATTACCGGATTGTAGATTGAGAGTAATAACTGGCTTGAGTCCTGACTGAATCCTTCTGAAGTGCTGCTCAAATGGAATAAAAGATTGTTTCATTACCAATAATTCTCATAATGTTATGCCTGATCTGTATGTCTTAGTTGATCATGTGGCTGAACTTAGAAAGCAATACATTTCTTATCATTGTGTTTTGAGGTCTTGAAATCTGCATCAGATAAGAGCATCCTCCTCCTAAACACCGGTTTGTCACTCGCACCAAGAATGTGATGTTTCTTTGTGTTTACACTGTAACTGTGTCAGGCCTTGCATTTGTACAGCTGCTCTTTGAATGTGAGTTTCCAGACAGTTTTGCAGCTTTCACCCTAAGGAGTATTACAATTGTGCCTTACTGAATCTAAAATGGAGTTTATGACGGAGCTCTGAGTGTAGCAGAAGATAGAACAACAGTGTTTTCAGAGGAAATCAAAATATACAGCTGTAATTCAATTACACATTGACACATTAAAAGCATTCATAACATTGCAGTATCCTGGACAACTGGATTTGATAACATATTTTAAATAGATTACAGGTTGAAAATGCAACGTAATTTGACTTTACTAAAATGTATGCAACTATAATTACAATGATACATATAGTGGATGTCATTCAGCTGTTTTTTTTTCCCATAAGGTACACCTCTCAAAGGACAGTAAAGAACAAGCCTACATCATATGAATATACAGGCACATGTTGAGAATACACCAAGTATATGAGGAAGAGTAATGTCATTACAGACTGGATATTAATTATGATTCTAATACATAATTACTTGACCATTATAAATAGTCTCTGTGTCTTATATGCATTTTACAAATTTATCTAAAGAAAACATTTTGAAATTTGATTCTAAATCTATGCCTGTATATTGTTCTGGTTAAGTATGTACCATAGACCCATAAAAGAAAAGAGGAGACATTATTCAGAGTTCATGTGGTGTCTTATACCGTATCACTGCTGTGTTATTGCATGTGATTTTTGTTTCAGTCTACCAAATAATTATGATAAAAAGTGGAATAATAATTTTCTTTATGGCTTAAAAGTTAAATATGTTGTTTAATGATGGCAATATGAAAACCTTGTTGTTTTCAGTGACTGATTATATGACAAAGATAATGCTCTTTACTGCTCTCCTCATCGCTCTAGTAGTTTTTCCAGTCCTCATTTGATTGACAGCCACTAAAGGCTATCTGTCAGCATACATTAAAGTGAAAGACAGCTGTTGATGCTTGTTATGCAACAGGCTGTTAGAAAACATAAGGCAAAGAAATGAGTTTTTCTATGTGGAAGTGTGTGGGCCACTACAGGTTTGACTCTGCCTACATAAGTGCATGGTGTTCCCCTGTCCTTGTTTGAATGAAGTGTATTTTTCAGAATCCACCTCTCAAACATGTTGAATGTATTTATTCATATCACCACAGACAAGCCAGCCTCATTATGAATGTATGACACTTGGGTTCGATGTGTTAATGAATTATGGATGCAAAGATGAGGGTAATTAGCTCAGAGGGTGTGAACAAATCTGACTAGACTTTAATAACCTAAACAAAACAAGATGCTCTGTTGAGAAAATGTCACTAATAGAGAGGTAGTTTTACCATAGATGAACTTGTCTTTTTTTTTTTTTTTTTTTTTCAGATTTTTTAATTATTTTTTTTAAATCATTGAAGCAATGAATAGGCCTATTCCTCAAATTCAGTTGCATGCTATGCTAGCATAGATGAGCTGTTTGTCCACAGCTGCTTACACGTGGTCTAAAATAAATAAACTTGTCACTGGATTTTGTCCAATTAAGTGCAATTTCATAGAAAACATTGTTTTATTTGGACTATGTTGAAGGATAAATTAAGAGGTATAGGTGCTTATTGTCAGGATGGCTGGCTACACAAATATATACTGAAGTTGGAAATATTGCATTAATAAGACTGATATCAGTCTAACTGTGTTATACAATGTCTTGTTAAAATGTTAAAATCAGTGTTATAACCAAAATCAATTTTCCGTATTGATCATCTGCCTAAAATGTACGTCCCCACATGACCCTCTTCTATTTCACAGTCTACTCGAACAGAAATGCACACAAGCACATTTGAAGAGTTTGCATGCTACTTTTAGTGTTCATTTTTTTGTGTCCAAAATCTTCAATGACACTGTGGCAACCAGTGTTTCCGGTTTGTTACTGTGGGTATGTCATTTTGAGTTTTGGCACATTTTTTCAAAGATTTAGAATAAAGAATTTATATGTAAAAATGTTTCTGTCTGTCTGTTTGTGTCTGAGTTTGTTTCCTTAAAAGTGCAATATTTAACCTCTTGCTTGGAATATACCACAGTATGACATTATCTTGGATTTATTCATTTAACAAGGGTTGTTTAAAATACCTAAAAACATGCACTTTTCCTGTGAGCAGAGTCTGTTCTTCGCAGATCTGACCTGTAATTTGACTTTGTGTCGTTCGCTTATCTCCGTGGAGGTGAATAGGTTTAAGTGGACTCTTTCAGACAAACATCTCCATGGAGATTAGTGAGTTTCTTGAAACACATTTGTTATCTTTAAAAACAAAATATAACATCTTAATCTTTCTGTGATGTATTGAGCATTGTTTTTGGAGCATTGTCGTTCCTCTGCATTTTTTCTTCACAGAAACAGCCTGCTGCAGCCATGTGTCTCGGCCTAATGTGGACACAATGGCTGTAATCACATCATAGCACAATGACAGTGGCTCATAATGGGGTGGGCTACGTTCAGCGCCGTGTGACTCACATGATGTTACCAAATGTTCTTCACAAGCACAGCGTGAACTGGTCCACACGCTCCAACTCTGGTCCTAACACCTCTGATTAGTCTTTACCTTTGAATTTAAAATTTTCTGCATCTTTTATCCAAACTTCACTCAGTATTTACAAAATGTGATCTGATATGTTATTTATGTTATTGTATGGAAAGTTAGATTAGAAGGACTGAATGATTTCTGAGATGTATTTATGACTAATCACATTTAACATAAAACTTAGAGACTGAATTTCAGTATGAACTGTTAAAAATCAAATGCTTTTCAGAACCGGTGTGTAGAGGGCTTGATACTGGTCAGAAGGTTAAGGTTGCGGTGTTCAGATTAAATAATGGTAGCCTTTGTGATCTGCACTGATACTGATCATTTTGGTCAATGGGATATCGACTTCCAAGATACAGCCAACATTAAATTTTGGGATTTAATATTGGTGCAATAAAACGATTTACTGGACACTGCTGGTCTCACAATACTAAACTTGTATTTTTCCAAAGCGGTTATGTAGTTACAAAATGTGTTTGAGTCATTTTTACCTTAGGCTATTTATGTTTAAAGTCAACAAATACTATTTTCAGTCTCTGCCCTACTGGTTGATTTCAGGTATTTAAAGTATTGACATCAATATCTGAACATAAAAATATGAATTAGTGCATACTTAATTACAATTCCACTTTAACTGCCCAAGATGCCCTATATAATTGGTACTTCTCTTGGTGCTAATACTGCTCTACAGCTACAACTTCTTTAGCTATTATTGTACACACTTTATCTATATAGACATACTTCCTACGTGAGTGTTCATTTTCTCTTCCTCTTCCCCTCCATCTTAGACAGTTTTAGATAGTTAATGTGATGTGGCAGTTTACTTAAGCCTTAGCTGCCCTCACAGTCTGACAGGCAGACAGGAGGCGTGAGAGCAACCGATGGAGGGGTGTTCAGAGAGGACATGACCCAGGACTAGAGTGGCCTCCTTCAGAAGAACGACTCAGAGCTGTTAGCTGATTGTAGCGAGCGGACACTGAGGAAGAACAGATGTAAGGGTTCAGACATACATAATACATGAACTTTATAAAGGAGGGTACAAAGAAGGAGGATGGTAAGAGTTAAAGTACTGAAACAGCCTCATTCACCTTTTCAAGGGCCCCATTTAGACCTATATTGAATTATGCATATAGATATAGCTGCCAATTTTCTGACATGTTTGACGAACTCACTACATTTTAGGTTGAAGTTTTCATCCTCTAATCCAAAGGTCGTTGGTTCAAATCTTATCCTTATTGTTCAGAGCTGTCAGATCATTTGTTCCTTCAGGTAATGTGCTTAAGGTAGAAAAGTGGTACATAAATGGGACCATGAAAGAAACACAGGCCTACAACTTGAGTAGAATTAGGATGGATGGTGAGAGTGATAGCAGCTACAGTCTATTTGCCTCATGACTACTCAAGGAACATATTTTCCCTGTTGTTAGTGAGATGTGAGCCTCAAAACAGGAACTAATGAGTCACAAAGTCGTCAGAACCACTGAGTTTGTCACTGTCATATCGAGTCCTGTGACAGCTGGTACAAATGTTTTTTTTGCATGTTTTTCATTTGTTAATGGCACGTGAATGTATTTATTAGGCAGGGTAAATGCTGTCTTTTTCTCTATTACAATTACTTTTTGTTTTTTTACTTTGCTTTAAATGTAACTATGTAAATTTTCCACCACCCCTTAACATGGAGATGATATTGCTTTGTCTTGAATGTTCCACAGTATAGCATTTATTTATAGCATTTATCTCTATGCAGACAAGTTGGTGACCAAAAGAGAAAGTTACAGAGCAGATCTGTGGAAGTAATAAAGTAATAAAATGCCTAATGTCACTGTACTGTGCGCAGCTACACAAAGACGTAGGTAAAAGATGACCTGCCTTTTCTGTGACATCAGAGCAAGTGTGAGTCAGCGTCTGCAGAGCGAGAACAACTGAAATGTGACTGAAGTGAGGGGAGGTGTTACGTCTAAAAAAGTGCCCAATGCTGCGATGTTGTCTTTTGTCTTCATTTGTGTCTTTGCATTTGCAATCCAAGCCTCTTTGTACTCATATATACATTGGTGGTCATATACAATGTGATACTTTCCCATGTGATTATTTCCCATCTTATGTAAATATTTTATACATTGTCAGGAGACGTCATTCACTTCTGGTGGAGGGTCACGTGCTTGTGTTTTAATTGTAAAAAAACATGAGAAATCCATTCTACTGTAATCAGGGTCACCACATATGACCTGTAACTTGGCCTGGTGGCATCGACTGGAGAGACATAAGTATAAAGCCATACTGTGGAACAATTTGGACAAGGGGAAACCTCAAAGCCTGATCGTGTCAGATCTCAGAAGCTAAGCAGGGCTGGTTAGTACTTGGATGGAAGACCACTGAGAATATCAAATTGCTGTTGTGTCCTTGGGCAACACACTACACCTACATCGCATCATGTGAGTATTGTGGTGGTCAAAGGAGTAAGAGGGGCTAATGGTGCAGATTGGCAGCCGTCAATCTAACCCATCTGTGGCTACATTAGTATCTTACTACCACCAAGTGAGGAGTCAATGAACAATAAAATCATGTAAAGGATCTTCGAGTGTCAAAAAAGTGTTATATAAATCAAATGCATCATTATTGTGAAGGTAGCATTTGCACAAAGACGGTGATGGACCCTTAAGTAGAAAAGTGATGCCTCTTTAAATAAATGTATACTTCTTCATCACTTCTCACAGAAATAGTGCTCATGTTCTCTTGGTCTTCTCTAACCTTTGAGAGGTTTTGTGTCATGTGAGGCGGTGCAGATGGGATATCCTCTCCTGCTGGCAGGATGAATGACACATGACCTTTACTGGCCTGCTCCCTGTGTGTCCTGTGGAGAGAAATACACACACTCCACTCAAATAAATCGCATCGACTCTGCTCAGCTGGAATAAACAGCAACGGTCCTGTAGATGGCTTTAATGCTGTGAGATTCATAGCTACAAGCAAGGACACGATAAAGTACCACAAAGGACTGAACATGCACAAAAGGAAAGAACAGAAAGTGAAAAACTTTCATCTATACTTTAGAAATTGATATGGTCACTATTTTTGATCACTGTAATTAAATCTCCCCAATGCTATGGGATCTTTTTGTCTTATATATGGGCTCATATATGGCTATTGTGTGTTCAAAATTGTAGTTCTAAAAATGTAGTGCTTTATGAGTTTCACAGTGGCTCAGTGTTTAGAGCACACATCCATCACCTGAAGGTTGGAGGTTCCCACAGACCAAGTTCTTCACCTACTTTGCCTAGTATAAATGTGTGTGTTTTATTTCATTTCCTACAGGTTTAACAACAAAACTTAAAACTCTTTTTGCAAAGATGTGCATGTTCCCAAAATCCTTCACCATGTATTTCCAGTAACATCCTGCAGCCACACAAAATCCTGTCCCATCAGACTGGACCTCATTGGCCCAAAATACCCCACATTTGAGAAGGAGCTCTTTTCCTGAGAGCCCCTGTTGTGATTTGACAGGTTGAAATTAGTTGAAGTGCTGTTAGCTTTTCTAAGAATGCCATTATGTTGGAATAATAATTAGACTGTAATTAGATTCAAATTAATGGAAAATTATTTTGGTCAAACACACCTTTAGTGAAAGAAAGTACAACCTGGTTGGGATATGTACAAAGTAAAGTGGAAAGTAAATAATACATGTTTTTCAGCTTGGAGTGAAACCGATGACAAAAATAAACAAAGATGAGACCCATATTACACTATTTTCTGATCAATGTTTAATCTTGTTTAATCATCACAAATATATCTGGAGTTGTGTTTTGTTTCATTCATACCATACATGTTTAATACACAAACCATGCAAATTTAGTTCTTCTCTCAAACTGACAAGACTCCATCTGTTCCATCTTGTGATGTCATGTGGTGATACAGGAAGTGCTCCACTGAAATTTTTAAACTCTATACATCTTCACCAGAACCATTTGGATAATTTCAGCACTAGAATTGCCAGTCTCTAATAAGATAAAAGTAAAAGGCAGCTGTTAACATGAAAACTACAATTACATGACATCACAAGTTGGGACAGAGCATTTTGAGCTTTGGGGATGAAGACAGACTAATAATAAAGGATTACTGAAACTGTGTAAATGAAACAAAACACAACTCCAGATATGTTTTTAATGAGGTAACAACATAACCTAATTCATAATGAACAAAGAGTTTATTCAGACTTAGTTAAAAAGTAAATTACAGAGTTAGAAGTTAGAAGTCAGGATTTGGATATAAAACTGAATAATTCTTAACAAACAGTTTATTATGAATTAAGTTTTTCTTCTTTCTTTATTAAGGATAATTAGGTGAAGTCATTATATAGTGTTACCTCATACAAATGACATGACTTTATCCTTGTTAGCTAGTAAGTTTTTAATATATTTAATATAGTGGTAGTCACGATAACTTCTCAGATCAGTACTTTCCTTAGTAAGAAACCTTTTGCCATTTTTAGTGCACTCGTCATTGCCTTGTTTTGACTGCAGTGTCCCAAAATAACTCCATTTCATTAGTTCCAACTGCGGTTCCCCCTCCAGACTCCCCTGTCCCACCCACCATCACCTGCTGTTCCATACACCTCAGCGCAGCCTCATTTGACTATTTTAGGTTAAAGTCAAGCAGTAATTTTCCCCTTTTAAATGCTTATTTTCTCCCAGATCTATGTTGGGGAAGTGACTCTGATTCATAAATTAGGTCTCTATTTTATCCCTGTTACATGGCAAATACTCATGACCCCTCCAGGTTCCATGTCTCATCTTGTTGGTTTTAAAAGAGAAAAGGACCAGTGTGACATAATAGAGGAAGGTCAATCAGACACAATGGGAAGATGGGGAGCCTATTTAACCACTTTTACTTTGTCCAAAAATAAATGTTTAGTAATGCTATTGGTAGATTTTTTTGGTTTATTTTTATATTTTTTAACAAATGGGTATATAAATTAATGAAAAAAAAATCAATCAATCAATCAATTAAGGTTGCACTGTACTTTTTCTCCACCATCTGTCTGTACTTTGTCTACAATATTCCACAGTAGGGCTTTGAACTATCTGTCTCCATAGAAGCAAAAATGTGGTGCCATCAAGCCAAATTACAGGCTACAGATATGGAGAGGTGAACCTGCTCAACAGGTGGCCGAGCATCAGTAGTTACATGGTGCAGCTTTAAAGCAACAAAAAATCTGAAATCAGGGGTTATTTCTCATTCTCCACTCTGTATGAACCCAAATAAACCAGTGTCTAATTTCTATCACAAAGAATACATGTGACTCTTCTTTTGTTTGGCTTTCTAATCATCTACCCATCATATGTTATTATTCTTGGCATGTTCTTACTCTTGACGCCCTTTCTGATCTAACCCTTTCTATTTACCCAACAACTTAACTAAAACAAAAATGCAGCCAGCTTGTAAAAAACATGCTCATGCAAACTGAAGAAGACTTATGCAAACCAGTGTGAAGTGTGAAAAATACTTACAGAATAATAGCAGCAAATGGAGTAAAGGAAACCTCACAGGAAAGTCACACATAATCTGGGAAAAGACAGTGTAAACAGGAAAGAGCTTTATATGATGGAAACATGAGGGAAACCAAGCATGGACTGGAAATGCCTATTTTAAACATACTTTATGATGTGTTGGCAAAAGTATTGTTAAGACGTCTCTTCATACATGATTTAAGGAGGTAAACACAAGTTCAACTGAGCACCATAGCTTTATAAACACTATTTACACTAATCCATAATGAAAAAGTAATTTACTTAAATGATTCTGGGTTGGATTATTAAAGGTCCTATATTGTGCAAAACTGACTATTGTGAGCTTTAAGCCATGTTATAATGTTATTACCTTATCAAATTTTTCAAAAACATACACAGAGTTGTGTTTTGTTTATTAACACGTTTCAGTAATCCTTTATTAGTGTTACGACCCAGCTCTTTTGGGTAAGGGAAGTAACAAAAATAAAAAACCAAGATGTAAAATGGAATAAATTAAATAATGTTTAATTAACAGAAATGTAAAGGTAAATTAACAAAACAGACTAAAATATACAGAAAACAACCTAAACTAAGAAACAGAACAACAGAATAAACAGAGTTTTGTGCCAGAAAAGGGGTCACGCAGGCTTACAAAAAAATGAGTGGTAGAACTTAGGGACACACACTAAACTAAAACACAAGTTCCCCAAATTAAACCACATAAACACACAAACAGAATCGAGTGACCAAATCAAAAAAGGCACAAAACAGAACTAAACTAAACTAAACTACACACACACGAAAAAAAATGGCATACTGGCCACCAAGGCCAGCAGCCCCAAACGGGTGCTGGTAATCTCCTTAAATAGGGGGAGGTGGCTGCAGGTGAGGTGGGCGTCGACCTGCCCCACTAATCACAAACGAGGGCTCCCACAGCAGGAATCCAGTTGTGTCAGCAAACTTGTTTAGAACACACAGAACAAATGACAATCCAAGGCCTGGGGCCGTAACAATTAGTTTGTCTACATCTCCAAAGCTCAAAATGCTCTGTTCCACCTTGTGATGTCATGAAGCAGTAGTTTTAAAGTTAACAGCTACCTTTCATCTTTTGTTTAGAAGAGGCAATTCCAGGTCTGAAATCATTCAGATGATTCTAGTGAAAGTACATGGAGTTTAAAAACACAATGGACTTCCTGTTTTACCACATGACATCAGAGGGTGGAACAGTGTTTTTGAGAAAATAATTCAGCCTAAAGATGTAGGGTTTGTGTGTTAAACATGTGTGAATGAAACAAAACACAACTCGAGGTATGTTCCTCATGAGGAAACATTATAACATAGATCAGAAAGTAGCATAATATGGACCCTTTAATTAAATTACTAACCCTGAATCATTTTTTAATAAACTAGTTGTTAATTCTGAATTTCATGATTTACTAATTGGCTAATTAAGGTGCACTTTCCGTAAAGATCTTAAGTGTTGGATTAATTGTTTTTCTTCATTAAAGATTAAAAGAAATCCTAATCTAATAATTTTATGGTTTGAGTTTCTTTATCCTCTCACCATCTTGCCTGCCGATGCCATATATTTCTGTACCTGTTTTTCAAAGCAGCTCATTCACTTTATTTATTAATATGGTTATATAAGCCCACTTATATCACAGCTCACAGCAGGAGCATTTTACAACAATATGCTGCTCAGATAAAAGCACATGTTTGAGATTCACTATCCATCCAGCCCCCTGTTGTCTCTAAAACCACCTAACAGCACTGGTATACAGGTATAGCCATTAGCGACTGCTGTGGAGACGTGTGGGCGAATAATAGCACTTTGGTCCAGTCTCAAGATGGCATTTATAAACAATTTAAATAAATCGTAAAAATAAATCATCCACGTAACAAGATGATCTTGTCAAGACATGCAAGCTGACAGGAAGTCTGCTTGAGAAAATTATGCATTCAAGCAGATACAAAGTGCTCACTGGAAATGAAAGGCTCAATTAAGTCATGACCACTCAGCGAAGAAAACCTCTCCTCCAAGTATCACTGTTAACAATAGTTTTTAATAACTGGTAAAATTACAAAACCCTATTCCAGCTTAATAAAGAATGTATTATTTCTATCTTGTCTGCTTGTCAGAGTGGATAAATTTCAACTTTTACAAAAGGATTTAATCATGAATAATTGAACAGTACATTATTCATCAAGCCATCTCCAGCTGAATTTTGTGCAGATTTCGGTGAGACATGATAGTGAAACTCAAGAAATGTATTTCTGATTGTAGAGGCAGTACAGTTAAAAAACTTTTGTGCAGTTCATTCAGTTCATCTTCTGAGATATGATTGTAATCAGGTTCACGTTGGGTCCTCTGAGCGCACTTGCTGGTGTAGTAGTTTTGTGAGGGGGGGAAACATCTGTCTTCTCTTCTTTGATGCCCCGCGTGCTTTCATGTGGAGCTTTTCTGATGTGGAAAACCAGCCTCATGAGGAAAGACAGAGGCGTGAAACGGAAGCAACTGCTGCCAGGACAGGACAGTCGGTTTAGTCAGATACCTTTGGAGTAGTCATTTTTAAACTTCCAGTAAAAAAGGCCAATACTTGACCCAGTTCACCAGATAACAGCATTTTGAATAGTGTCTGTCAGCAGTTTGTACTTGGTGTGGGGTTTGCTATGTGTTTGTATTCACAGAGATTTTATTCCTTTGCCTGGAATGTTCCACAGTATGGCATTAAACTGTCATCTATCATTTATTCACATTTCTATTGTCCAAAAATGCCTTTAAACATATACACTCTCTATGGGAGTGTGGCCATGTCTCTGCAGATGATATTTTAATGCCATATTTTGGAATATTTTGTGCATGATCTCTATGTAGGCCAGCAGTGTCCAAAGATTTTTCACCGAGCTTGAAACATATTTGATCCTTCATATGGGTACATTTTACATAATTTTTACAAAGGTCCCATATCTTTAATGAGGCTTGAAACATTAATTTTAGGTCTGTATCACAAAGAAATGTGATGTTATTCAGGTTATAGTGGTAGAATTGCTATAATTTTCTGTAACTGTACTACCTATGATAAATTGGGTCAGTTTAGGCATGAGGTCCAACTCCAGTGCAGTATCACAGTAGTTGGTAATAAAATATATTATTATAAATGTGTATTTGCATCCTTTATCTTATACTGGCAACAGTATGATTAAATTCCCCCAAATATAAAAAAAATAATTGTAGGGAATTTAAATGGGTCCAAGTAAAGTAAAAATGTGTCAGCTGTCGATGTAATGAAAAGATTAGAAGTCCTTGTCCCATCCCGAAAACTCCTCATCAGCTTTCGTTTGGTCGTGTGGAAAACGATCAAAGTTGATGTAGCAGGGGCCCTAAAGCGCAAGCAGACACACACAGAAAATCGATAATATAACAGATTATAACACTTGATAAATTTAAGAGTACTTTGGGGGCTCATTCATATTATTTCTGGGAAGTATTCCAAAGTACTAATTAGTATCCTCCTCTTGTTTGACTTGCCTTGCGTACGAGTCGGATCGTGGGAGCCTCGAGCTGTCCCACGCGCAGCTTGTGCCAGTTCATGTTGCTGAACCATCTGAAAACAACAGTAGTAACAGATTGAAGCCAAAACAGGTTATGCACACTCTCATTCATGATTACTGTTGCCATGGTTACCTGTGATGCCGGACATCCTTGATTCCATTCTTGGTGTTTCCTAACCTTTGACCTGGGCGCGGCCTACAACATAAGGTAATAAATCATTACATTATCTTTGACGGAGTATTGCTCATTCTCAGTAGATTTCTGTTTGTTCTAGTTACAGGGTTTTTCAAACACCTAAGGAAATATTTGGCTATTAGGGAGTTAAAGGTGCACTATGTAACTTATATGGTGGACAGTATGTCATGAAGCTGATCTATCTCCATGGGGACAAGCAGGTGACCACACTAGGTTCAAGGTCATATCTGTGGAGAGGCAAGGATGTTCACATTAAGAATGCATGCTCTTCAAGTATTTCTTTTACCAATAAACACAAAAAATGTATAGTATCATAGATTCCTTTATATATTTATTTCCTTTCATATATCTATATTCGGGCTAAACCATGTCTAAACCATGGTGCGATACCAGGTCTACACTATGGCTCAACCAGGTCAGAGGTAGAAGTAGGACTTCACTACATCAAGTTCTGTGATAATTTGTCTGCGAACTATAACTTGTCATTTCACTCAGAGGGGCATATTTAATATTTAGCTAACATAAAGCCTTTGTATTTGTTTTGTATTGAAAGACTGAATTATAGATATTAATCTTAAAATAGATAAATCCCAGAGCCCTTTGAACTGACAGAACATTATTCATTCCACACAGTTATAGAGTCAATGCATACACTGGAATCCTGATAGAGTCCATATCTCTCACCTGCACAGCTTACTGATAATGGACTTGGCTGCTTCACTTAAATAAGGAGGATACTTAAGCACCCCATCAAGGATCTTGGCATAAATCTTCTGAGGTTCTGAACTCGAAAAGGGAGGGCTGGAGGTAAACATAAAATCAAAGGCTAAAGAAATGTCATGGCATTTGTAGAAGTACATATAAAACATGAATGACTGGAACTAATGCGGCATGTGCCACAAATCACTGCTGCCCCCTACTGGCTAAAACTGCACTTGTACAGTTTTTATTTAGATAGTTAATAATACATTAGATGGAGTATGATATGAAATTCTTACCTTCCTGCTAGAAGCTCAAAAATCAAAATTCCCAGAGACCAAAAATCTACAGCAAAATCATGTCCCTGGTTTTGAATGATTTCTGGTGCCATGTATTCAGGGGTACCTACAAAGGAGTATGTCTTGTCTCCACGATTCAACTCCTTAGCAAAACCAAAGTCTACCTGTAACACAGACAATGAGTGGGAAAAATGACAAAATATAAGTAGCCGGTATCATAGTCACATATTGTAGATGTATTCACTTGTCACTAACCAGTTTAACATAGCCTTTTAGGTCCAGCATTAAGTTCTCTGGCTTCAGATCTCGGTACATGATGTTTTTCTTATGGAGGTATGCATAGGCCTCCACCACACAGGCCGTGCAGAAGACAGCAATGGCCTCATCAAAACGGCCCCTGATCAAAGACACATGACACAATCACAAACTCACAATAATTAGCTTTCAAATACTATAAGTCTATAGGGTAACAGGCAGCATGTCAACAGAGATGCCCTTTTACTCATTCTGTACCATTTTATATGCCAAGGTTAACATCAGAGATGGATAGTGATGAAAACAAAAATGCAGTCACATTGAGAATTTGAACTTCTAAGAGTTTTGTCAAATTATTAGCATGCTTATTTTTGTAACATTTTGGATTGTTGACTTTGGATTTTTGCACCTTTTTGCACCTTACCTTACTGTGTATTCATATGGAAATGTGTTGAAAAATGTTTTCAGACTGTACATCATTGTAAAACATAGATAAAAATATAGAAAAACTGTTTCTGAGTAGCCTATTTAAGTACAGATTTAGCCATACAAAAGACAAAAATGCTCTTTATAGCATTATAAAACTGTATTTGTTGCTTACACTTTTTATATTTATTACATGTATTCTTGGGAAATACCTAAAAATGTAAAAGTTTTGAGACTGTACATTATTGTAAAACATAAATAAAAACATAGAAAAACTGTTTCTGAGTAGCCTATTAAAGTATAGAATTAGCCATACAAAATACAAAAACATTCTTTATAGCATTATAAAATTGTATTTGTTGCTTACACTTCTTTCAGCTTGGTCCACACCTCCCCACCTCCACAAAACTCCATCACCATGTATATATATCTTGTGTCTTTGAAAGCTGCATGGAGCCTACAATTAAGAAAAAAAAAAGTTATATTTGAAAGGTCTCTCTCTCTCTCTCTTAAATACTGAATTTAACACTTATATTTTGTTACCTTACAATGAAGTCACACTGGATAGTCTTTAGGATCTTTTTCTCAAACAGCATGTGCTCCTCTTGTCTCTTAGCAACTATCTGCTTCTTACTGACCCGTTTCATGGCATAGTATTTTCCATGATTCATTGTGGTCATCTGAAAATATAGGCAATGTCTACATAATGCAAAACATTACTGAACACTGTCATAATAGTTAAAGCGTGGAAATGTTCTACTGCTGGCAAAAAGAATAGTTAATAATATCATATTGCAAGCATAATTTTAAGAAATTAATAAACAAAGAAAGGCATTTTAGAAAAAATAGTACAAGCTGTAAAGATTTTATAAATAGGAAAACCACACTCACAAGCTGTACACGTCCAAATCCTCCAACTCCCAAAGTCACGGGGTCGCCCTGGTAACGACCCTCCTGGTACAACACTGGAACAAGGTCCTTGAATCTCAATGTGGAGCTGGGACTGATACAATGAATTATTTATTTACAGAATATTTTGTACAGTTGGAGCTAAATTACATAAAAAATAATCAACATTAATCTATGTATGAATGTATTATGAGTCACCTGGATTTTTCTGGGACTTCTGTGTCCTGCTGCATGACTTTGGAACTAAAGCAAACAAGAAGTCAGTGCACGTCATACTGATGTGCAACAATAGCTCAAAAGGTCAAATGTTACATACTCATCAAAAAGTTCCAGTTGTTCAATTGGAATAGTCTCTTCAAAGACCCTGCACAAATGAAAGGGCAGAGAGCAATTACAATTGCAGAACACACCACTGACCAGACAGAATAATGGCTTTTACTCTCAATATTTCAGCATCCACTCACTCCTTATCAATGGAGAAGCAGGTGACAGGGCCATCAGCAGTGCAGGTGGCAGTTCTCAACACCTCACTGCAAGAAGAAGATTTTATTCATAGTATTCAAAGAGTTAATCAAATCTGATATTTGTCATGAGTAGGTATTGTATAGCTGTTTAAGCAAAGGGCTGCCCCTCTATACAGGACTATAAAGCACACAGTAGGAACATATATACACAACAGCAGCAAGTTACACGAGGCTCTCTCATAATATAATGTCCAGAGGCTAACGTGGTGCTGTTGCCATGGTTACCGTATAAGGGCCTGCTCCCCGAAATGCTCTCCTTTTCCCATTCTGCGGATCTGCTTCTGATGCCCATTCACGTTCTTTGTTACCAGCACCTAAGGGGAAACACAGGAAGGAAAAGCATTAATGCACAGGCAGGTGCTCATTGGCACTGAGATGTGAGTTCAAGTAGAGTACCTCGCCTTTAAGAATGATGTAGAAGGCATTTCCCTCAGCGCCTTCTCGTACAATTACATCTTTGTCCTGGTACTTCACCTGAAATGAAACATAAATGTGCGTTGTTGGAATATTTAAGTTGATAGTTTTGTTCTTTAACTTGTTAACTGCCGAACAACTACAAAAATCTTATGGTTATGTCAAATAAAATGAAATAGGTATTTTCACGTATAATCATTCACAATTTAATGTCACTAAATATTTTGACACCATCTTTGGTTGGATATCATCCAAGAAAAAAAAACAGTAGTGGACCAAGGGGTGAACCTTGTGGTAACCCCATGTTTGTAATCTAAGAGAATAGATATTATGTGGTAGGTACATGCACATCCAACAAATGTAGCGTGCAGGCCTCAAAGATAAAAATTTAAGCAATTAAAAAATAAATAAATAGATAAAAAAATTACCTGCATTGCAGTTCTTTGGAGCTACCTATTTGACTTGACCCAGAAAGGTTAAATTGTGGTGTTTTTAACGCAGATGCCACAGCTCCTCCGGCAGCAGGCTCCTGCTCATTCCCAAAGTCAGGACACACACTCACGGAGAGGCGTCTTTTCAGTATTATGGCCCCCGTCTATGGAACTGCCTGCCGGAGGAGCTCAGGGCTGCAGAGAATGTTCATGTTTTTAAGAGCAGGCTCAAGACCCACCTTTTTAGCTTAGCTTTTGATTAAATTCTTATACTTTTACCTGTTTCTATTGTACACATTTTAGTATATTTATTTATTTTAGGCATATTTTTTAGGATTTCCAGTGTTTCCTCTGTAGGAGCCTCTGCATCGGGAGCAGAGATCGGCTGTGGCTCCCGGGTTCTGTCCCGTGGGCTCCTGGTGGAGGGTTGGTGCTTGGGCTTCATCTCTTCCCTGGACCCTGTGGTGGTTCCTGGTGGTGGTGGACGACTCTCTGCTCCTGATGTAGACGGCTCCTCTGATAGTGCTTTCTCAACTGGTTCGCCTGTATTCAGCCTCACATTTTACTATAGGTGATTTTATGTATTTTACTATCTTAGGGAGCGTGTGGGTGCGAGTGGGTGTGCGTGTCTGGGTTGTTTGGTTGTGTGGAGTCGGGCAGGTGTGGGGTTGGGTAAGTGGGTGGGTGGATGGAAATGTGAGATTGTTTTTAATCACTGTAAAGCACTTTGTGTTACGTTTTTGTATGAAAAGCGCTTTATAAATAAAGTTTGATTGATTGAGTGTTGTTTGTTTTTAGCCTAAGTCTTTTGACGGACCTGTCTTGTTAGTTAATGCCTCAAAAAACAAACAAAGTCAATGTGAGTTTCAGTTCTGGATATGCATAATGGAATGGGCTCTGGAATAAGGTCGGAATATACCTGTGACTAAAACAAACTAGTCAGTCAGTCAAGTTTAAATAAGTGTTATTAAACTAATGTCCGTCTATGTAGCTATTAAACCATGTCCTTGTGATTAGATAAACCTCTATAACACTTAGCTCTTGCTGAACCACCTGATTTGACTTACTTCCTCCATTGAATCAATAATTTTGGACAACTGGACATCATTTAGGTCCTTCAAAGTGCGAGCCCTGTAGATGTAAGAATGAAGACAAGATGTAAACAAAGAAACTATTATGAGACTCTTTGGTGAGGACAACTGAGGCTCACTCACGTCTTCAGGAAACCCATGAGCTGCTCTCGTTTCTTCTTGGACTTGTTGGTGATGATGGTCCTGTAGGTTTGCCTCTCCATGCACCACAAACGCACGGCCGTCTTAGCTGCAGTCAGTCAAACAGAGATTATTATTATAAGTATGTGGGGTTATAATGTCAGACATTTGTTACAGAAGAAAGATTATTCACCTTTAATTTTGCATATTGTTAGCTGTCACCTTTTCTGTATAAAGTTGATCTAGCTAACTGCTATAGTACATGCTAGCCAATATTTAGCTAATATTCTCTAAATAATAAACACTTTTCTCTCTACATTACATTTTCAAAAAGAACCCAATACATACAAACTTTTTAACATGAAAAGTTTTTTTGTTGTTTTTGCATTGAAACTAATCTTACCTTTAGTTCTTAATTCTTTGTTGTGTTCATACCTTTGACTGTGGCGGTCCTTTTACAGTTGTATAGGATGGCTAACTCCCCAAAAACATCTCCAGTGGTCAGAGTGCGGAGATCCTGTCTAGCCTGGGTCACCTGCAACTCACCAGCTACAAACAAAGTGAGTTTTAAAATTAATTTATTTGTCAATTTGGGTATTTCAAATCAAATCAAACTTTCCAAAGGACTTTACATACAAAAATGTAATGCAAAGTGCTTTACGGTCATTAAAAACAGTCCCGGATTTCCTTCCACCCACCACCTATACGCCACAACTGCCCAACCCCACACAAACCATGCAATTCAGAGTCACATGCACAGTCTCACCCACATGCACACACATACACATTTTCCATAGGCCATACTTTTCCTAATATTTTGATCTTAAACAGTGAAAGACAAGTATGTACCTGCCACTATGTACATGCTGTCCCCCTCAGAGCCCTCTTTGATGACTTCATCTCCAGGGTTGAACTTAGAGAGCACCAGTAGCTCCACCATCATGGCCGTCTGCTCATCGTCCAGTCTCTTCAGAAAGTCATTCTTCTGGATGGCTTTGACGATCAGACTCGTCTCACTGAGGATTTAAAATCATAGTGAGCCAACCAACCAAGGAAGACCAGGATCTGAATTAACCATTAAAAATACTTCAAAGTAGCCTTCATTGCAGTTGATAATCTATTTGAAACTTTGATAAGCAGGTAATTAAAATTAATTACTTCACAACTTAATGACCCTACATTAATCTCCTACATATAAACTTTGCATTAATAGCCTAGTTAGGTTAGGTTAGTTTATTTGCTAGTTGAGGTTAGAAACCACATAAGTGCGGATATAGTTGCAATCAAATAGTTGTACTCACGAGCCAGTTTTCTTGACTCTCGTGCTTGAGATTTCCAACGTCTCTGGGATCGGTTCAGTGGCTATAACAGCAGCTCTGCTTTTTCTAAATTCTTGTACTTCATTCCCACTGTGTCCATGAAACTCTAAACACAAAAAAAAATATTTATTGTGTAATATTAGCTTAGGCCAAGATGTCAAACCTGTGGGAGAATGATCTCACCTGGCTCATGGCTTTGTAGTTGCTGCAGGAGTTTCTCTTTTTCTTGAAGACGTTTTTCTGAAGAAGAGTATACATGATATTAACTTTTCACTTCAGTGGTTCACTGAAGAGGTATAGGTCACAGTTGCAAGGCTGACACAGAGACATACAAATGGACAATGATCCAGCTGCTCCAACCGGTGCACATATTGTTGTTGTGCCCTTGAAGCTATATCTTTAAAGGCTCCATATTACGCTATTTTCTGAATTTTTATAATGTTATTTCCTCATCAGAAACATTACCAGACTTGTGATTTGTTTCATTCACACATTTGTTTAGCACACAAACTGTGCTTATTTAGGTCGAGTTCTTCTCTCACCCAGAAAATACTCTGTTCCACCATGTGTTGTCATGTGCAATACAGGAAGTGCTCTACTGTGTTTTTAAACTCCATACATCTTCAATAGAGTCATTTGGATGATTTCAGCCCTGGAATTGCAAACTTTTACTGTACAAAATGTAAAAGGTAGGTGTTCACTTGACATTATAATTTGGAATTTTGAGCTTTGGAAATGTAGACAGACTACTAATAAAGGATTGCGCAAATATGTGTGAATGAAACAAAACACAGCTCCAAATATCATTTTGATGTGGTAACAACATTATTACATGGTTTAAAGCTCACAAGAGTCAGTTTTGCGCAATGTAGGAACTAACGTGGGTGTGCTTCAGAGAGACCGATATTGCAGACATGAATACGGTACCACAAGGAGGTCATGTAAACATCAGCACAATAAGAAACTCTTTTCATGAAGAGGCAAGAACCACTCTGTCACCATCATCCTTAAAAGACAGATACCTGTGTGCTGCTGTTGTGTACTTACCTAAGTCTTTGTTTTGTCTTTGTAGCTCTTTATTGATTAAGCATTGTTTTTCTAGTTGTTGCTTTAGATCTTCAAGCTGTTTCTCCATCTCTGCACATAAAACACAAACAATGATATTATTAGACTTTTACTGTAGCATTCAGTCAGTAACCTTTCACCTGTATAGCCACAACAACTGTTTCTTTGCTTTCACATCAACCTTTTCCCATGACGACAGCTCAGTGGGGGAGTAGCACAGGCCCTAACTCCTGCTGAATAATGCAGCATGATGCGAGGCAGACAGTGGGATGTCCTCTGAATGCTCCTGCACCCAGCCGACTCCTTTAAAGATCTCTTTGGAGTGGGTTTAACTGCTAATGACACATATTATAATAGTGGGCCAAAACATAAGCTAACCAACCTAATATTGACCACTAAAAATGGTCTTAGTTATGTATAGTATGAAAAGCATTTTACTTTGTACTTTAGAAAATAATAATTGTAATATTTAACAAAATAAAAACAAAAAAGACAAAAAAAACAAAAAAAAAACAAACCCTCCCACACTCCACCCCTCTCTCTCTCACAATTACTATGTACATTTTGTCATACTTTATCTTTGCCATTAGAAGTTATGATCACTGCCTTGGCACCACATAGTCTGTGCTTGGCACATGTCTACTCTGGATGGTGATGAATATATCGCCATGGATTTATAAAGTACAGTGTGTTCGTACTAACGTCAAAAGCCAATGTATCATAGAAGTAGTGTGAATTTATGGAATGAGCTAGATGACAACTTGAAAATGCAACAAATTTACTGCAATTAAAAAATAAAAAATAAATCTCTGCCCCAGGGCAGCTGTGGCTACAATAGTAGCTTGCCACCACTGAGTGTGGAGTGACTGAATAATGAACTGCAAAGCGCTTTGGGTATTTTGAAAGGCACTATATAAATGCAATCAATCAATCAATATAAAATAAGTATCTTTAACTCTTTCTAAGAGTTTATAGAATTAATTATTCTAAAAGATGATTTCCAGTAGTCCTTGTATGTGCCTGTGGATAATAATACAGTAATATACAGTGAAATGTTTGTTGATGTTAACAAGAAACTGAATTGGAGTAGGTGGTAATAAGCATTTGCTTCAGCCAACTCCTTTTGGGCTATGTATGCTTCTTTGTACACCTGTATTGTAAATTAAATGTAAAGGAAGCCCAAATAAATTAAATAAACTAAATTAAACACAGAAATAATCAGACTTAAATATTATTGAAGAAATATTTACCAATGTGTTGCCTCATAAGGGCAAACGTGATTCAGTCCAAACTAATAAGGTTTTCTGTTTAACCAAGTGCTGATAAGAAGACAAGGTATTTTCATTTAGATGGAAGTGTTTACGATTCTATTGACAGAACAAACACTATAGTTTTACAATATATACATATGCTGTATAGATACACAGTGGAAAAATGCTTAGACCAATCATAATATAGAAATCAGATCACATGACCTTCATTGTGAACATTGGAACTTCTAAGATTAGACAGAGAATCATAAAGTCAATCCAAATAAATCTTGGTTAGAAATTCTTGCATGTTGACCATAAGAAATTACATCATTTTGGTTTGTAAGCAAGAAAAAATTACAGATAAAGTACAAACTAATTTACATTCTTACCTCAGTTATACAAGTACAACATGTAATACCCCTTCAACAAACTGGCTTTTGATTAACTAGAAACTACAAAACACACAAAGACCAGAAGTGCCCTCTTAATTTATGCGCTTTCTAGGAAACCAGGCTATAAAGAGAGGGGTGTGTGGTTAACCTTAAAATGTTTATCAACATTCAATGGAGTGTTCTTGGTTTGACTTCCATTTCCCCATGAATCTAAGGGCTGCCAAAGTTTTCAATTGGCTTATATGGTATTCAAGATTTCAACATGACAGCCATAAAAATGTGTATATAAACAAAAGAAAATATGAATATTGTATACTTTTAAAATAAATGTATATGTTATTATTTCATTATATTTTCTAATAAATTAAGACAGAATTATTATTACAGATGCAGGTAATAGTTTGTATGTCCAGTATGCAGCAAACTTATTTTATCTGACCAAATCACGTAAAATGTCAAAGTGACAATTGCAGTCCCTATTACAGTAGTAGTAAAATAAGATTAGTAAGTAAGCAAAGTTATTATAATATATTTTTAGGGTATTTTTTATAACTATCAAAATTGCAGTGGAAAAACATGGTATCAGTGCACTGCATAACCACTGCTCTCTATATGTCCTCATGACTAATTCAAAAAGAAGTGTAAGTGAATTCATTCAGCAGATTTCATTATAATTCGATAGTGAAATAAGAGCTAAAATGTACCCAACTTCAACTGTATAACATTTATATAACATTGAATGACCTAAGAAAGAGGAACTCACCTGCAAACTTCATGCAAATCAGGCAGAAGAAAAAAAAGACTTGATTATAAAGGCCACATTGATTGATCTCGTAGCAATATAATCAATCAGAGTTTGATCGGAATAAAAACACCTTAGACTAAACAGAAAGCAGTCCCTGTCCGCTGTCTATTTAACAATACTTCCTCTGCCTGAGCTCCACACTTGCTCCTCTCAAATTGCCATGTAGCCCCATCCACGTTACTATTTTTACTTCTCTCTCACAGTCTCTTTCCCTATCTGTCAATCTCCGCAGCCCAGGTGTTGAATAATTAACCACAGAATCTGGCCCCTCCCATCACATCAGGTACAACATGGCAAAAGACAGAGTGGTCAAAGTATGTCAAAGTACCACCTCCCTAGTGTGTGAAATTGGCTTAGATTTGAGGAGCACTTAATGATGACTTGCATGTTGTATTGTACCAAGATGTATTCTAAATAGGGCTTAAGTTTAGCATTGTGACAGAGACCGTGGGCGTTTATTGTTCACAGTTAATTATTGATACTGGGGTTAATAAACTACATTATGAGCGTTCGCTTTGAGATAAAAGGACTCTCAAATCAGCAGACAGTTCATGTCTTGTATGATGTGTAAAATTGACTTCTGTCTATACAATAAATGTACTGGCAGCAACACAATATGGAGCTCCATAGCTGCTGGAATTGGGTTTGAGGAGCCTAGAAAGAGACTTAAATTGTGTTCAAATATAAGCATATCTTTATTATACTTTAGATCTGATACAGTTGACAATTTTACAGTTCATATTTACTCATTTTGTATGCTCTTGGACAAGTGGTCAAGTTCATAATTGAGGTATAAAATAATGCGAACTATGCAAAAATACAATATTCCAACTATGAATAAGAAGCATAATACCGCATCATAGCAAAAAACAGTGCAATATGGTATAACTTATTGTATATCCTTCATATAAATACAACCCCCCCCTCATTCACTGGAAACAATTCTTCCACAGGATTGTGTATAAAACAAATATACACAAACTTACAAGCTATTGAACAGTGCACAACGAAGTGGTGAGTTTCACATTTGACATTTCTAAAGTGATATTTTGCCAAATAAACAAATCCTACCTAAATTATACATAGGGCGTTCATTTAATAATGCATTTTGGAATGCCAACCACTACGTTAGTTTTAAGACATTATATGCATTTTCTTATCATCTCCTAAGCATGGTGTAACATACATTTTACTCAGTACATTCGATTTCAAGTTAACCTCGTGGTGGTGAATTGTTGAGGTAGGCAGCAATGAATGTGATATGAAATTATACGCCGTGCACAATAAATATTGACTGAATAGCTGCTACTACTACTAATGATAATAATATTTTTTTCACAATGCAAACAGTGGAATGATAATGTGCACTCACAGCATATTCACAGCACCAAACTAACAAAACAATAAAATCATGAACTGATCAGGACTTCCTTTATGCCACATGCTTCCTTCAGGTCCTCCGGATGTTCAAACACGGCTTGTGTAAACTGTCCGAAGAGGTGCTCCATGTAACCTTCATTCCGTGGAAACACGCCCTGCATGAAAGCAATGTGCCCGCCATGATTGGTCACCAGAAGAGCCACATTTGGGAGTCGCCTCACCATGGCCAGGGGAAAGGCTGAAAATTATGAGAATATTTTACGTTTTGTATTTAAGCTTTTATGAGCACAAAAAAATAAAATATCATATTACATACTGGTCAGTAAAATTTTCACCAAAATTAAAAACTTTTCAAGATAGTCACCACTGATAAACTGGGGAACTCACCATGTTGTGGGGAGAAAGGGTCGTCTGCAGCATTGAGACACAAGATGGGAACAGTTGTATTGTGAAGTTTAAAGGCAGGACTGGCATCTCGATAGTAGTCTTCACAGGTCTTGTAGCCAAAGAGTTGAGTGGTGAAACGCTCATCAAACTCTCGAAGGCTACGTGCCTAGGGGCAGAGAATTAAAAAATATGATTATACCATTCATTATTATTCACAAAATACAATGTTTGTTTTTTAGTAAATAAGTACCTTTATGACGTAGTCAACATCCACCACTTTTTGTAGAACATTTCTGTGTCTGTGGAGAATGCATAAAATGACTTATTAAAGTTTATAGAGCAATATGAAGAAAAAAAACAACAAGATGTGATATGATATTTGACCTGATGACAGCTTCACAAAGGCCTCGTGCCAGGTGTCTGTTGAAAAGCAGCAAGTTGAGGGGTTCCTCCATTGAATCACATGACTTCTGCACATCCCATGGAACAGAAATGGTAAAACCAGCCTCCAGTCCAGATTCAGCTTGTTTGTTTGCAAGGTAGTTTAACAGTATTATTCTGTCAAAGACAAAATATACAAGATAACCTTATTATCACAAAGAAAGAATATACCTGCAAATACATTAATGTAGGCCATAACAATAAAAACAGACGCATAATATGCTCAAGTTGATTTTTTTTTTCTTTGGGTTATTTGGACTGGAGGCATAAAGGCAAGGGGATGGAAGGTCTGAAATATGTAGTGATGTGCACATAATATAATCCATGAATGGCAATTTTTTTCTTTCTTTTTTTTTGTCTGTAGTGGTGTGTGTAGAGGTGTACATTGGGAGTTTCAGTTGTTCAAAAGACACGTGTATGTTGAACAAGTTTTAAATTAAACATGGTCAATATTTTACATTGAAACAGTAAATAGATTATTGGTAAACTCACCCTCCCATAGATACACCAGCACCAAGCAGAGGTGAGTTTGGAAAAAGTCTTTTTACATGCTGCACCGCATATTCAAGATCAGAGGTACTGGCTGCGCAGTAAGTGACAGGTGTCTAAGGTAAGCAGAAAGGAAGAAGTGAACGTGACGAGAGAGGAGTTTGATAAACAAAATGAAAGGCATGAAAGGCACTTACGAGTAACTCCTCCTCTCCAAAGCCTCGGTAGTGGAAGACCACACACCTAAAAACAAATTTACATTGCAACATTTACTGATTATTTGTCCAAATAATTTTACAAATGTTCTTTTCTTGTCCAACCTGTAGCCCCGGATGGCAGCCTGGCGAATAGCATGGAGTACATAGGGTTGTTTGCTGTTTCCAGTCAGGCCTGGTAAGAACAGCACTGTGGGGCGAGTGGAAGATTCTGGGTAGGCGGTACTGGAGTGATTATCCACCCAATCAAGAGAAATTTGACCTCCGTCAACAGTGCGGACCAACTCACTAAAACATTACAGAAACATACAGTACTTTCAGTAAAAGAAAAGCAATTCCACTTATCAAGTAAATGATCCAAGACAGTGGTGAGTTTACTTACTTGCGATAATTGATTGTGGGTCTGCTCTTGAGAAAGGCATTTGCTAGAGTTTGAAGTCGGCCCCCCCAGCACCAAGGAGTGGGTCTGAAGTGCTCAGCCACCACTGGACAATGTTTATGAAGAAAGGTCCCAAAGGCCTCACTACACACTAAGGCTGGTCTCTGAAAGAAAAGATAGCAAGATCTATATTAACGTAATTTTCTACATCAGAAATATTTACAGAAACTAGACAAAGAATTAGTCTTTGATTCAGCATTTAAAGGGCCTATATTACACTATTTTCTGATCTATGTTATAATGTTGTTTCCTCATCTCAAAGATACTTCTAGTTGTGTTTTGTTTCATTCACACATATTTAACACACAAACCCTACATATTTAGGCTGAGCTAATCTCTTAAACAGAAAGCACTCTGTTCTACCATGTGATATCATGTGGTAATACAGAAAGTGTGTTTTTAAACTCCATACACCTTCACTAGAGCCATTTGGATGAATTGGCAGTCTACTGAAGAAAAAGTAAGGTAGTAGGTAGTAAGTAGTAAGGTAATAGGTAGGTAGCTGTTAACTTGAAAACTACCACTACATGACATCACAAAGTAGAACAGAGCATTTTGAGCTTTGGAGATGTAAAGAGACTAATAATGCAGGATTACTCAAACATGTGTGAATATAACAAAACAAATCTCCAGGTATGTTTTTGAAGCAGTAACACCATATAACATGGCTTAAAGCTCGCAATTTTGTGTAATATAGGCCCCTTTAAGGGTGCACTATATGCACTATATAACTTTTCTGGTGAATGAATGGAGATGTTATAGTGTTATCTACCTAAAATGTGCCACAGTATGACATTAAATTTATGTCCATCTCCATGGAGTAGATTACTCTATCAGGGAAAGTTACAGATCAGATCTGTGGAGAGACAACCCTGTTCACAGTGCAGGTGCATAATACAGTAAATGCAAAAGACAGCAGTTTAATATACAGTTTAACTTACTGTGGAACATTTCAGGTAAAGCAAAAAATCCACAATGGAGACAAGCAGGTGACAGACCATAAAAGTTTCGTGGTGCACCTTTAACAAACAGTAACAACCCTCAAACATCAACTATTCCCCTGTGTCATGTTTACCACTAAAACCAAACCAAGACTAAATGGTGATCTATAATTTAACTATTAAAGTGCTGGTCTTCGGGTTGATCCCCGGAAGTGACTGACCTGGCACTTGCGGCCCCACAGTAACAGTGTGGCCGTGACGGAGCAGACGAGCACCGTAAAAGGTCGGGTTACACACGCCCAGCATATTCTCCAGAACTCCCAGTGACAGAGAAACATGACATAAACCTGTAAGACTAAACCAACACGGACATGAACTGAAATAAGCCTAAGAGCGGTAGCAGCGGCGACGACTTGGACAGACTGGAGGTGACGGTGCTGTTATGTACTCGAGGGTGACCCATAACCTGCCTTCATCATAACCACCGCCTAATCTTCTCTCGCATCTCCTCACTGCGGTGTCCCATTGGCGATAACCTCCTTCCGGGGCGTCAGAATAACCGGTTGTACATCGGCTCTTTCACATTTCCAAAGGACTAAAGGATTACAGTTTTCGAGCCTAATTCAATCGCTGTACAGTCCGGTTTCTTTGCATAAACCGGATGAATGGGTAATCCACTGCGCATGCGCCTGTCATGGTCCGTTTTGTCATTTGAAACCAAACTAGCGACATCTACTGTAGTGGAGAATTTAGGTAATATTTTGGACTTTGTACTTCTGGGAGGTATTTAAACATTTAAGGCTTTCTGAATATTTCATGCAACCTGAAACCGAACTGTAAAACTTGTTTAGTTCAATAATACCAACAAAATGCTCAGGATTTCTTTACAGCTGTTCAACAACTCACCTTTATTATGTCATAGATAACCCTATGTCAATCATTATTTCATCTTTGCACTGCTCTCCGTACGACCTCTTGTATACATCTGACTCTGAGATATATTTATATTATATTACTATATTATTTACTATATTATTTATATTTACTATATTTCTATATTTTATTTTTACTTGTACATATACATTTGCATAATTATACCCTATTTGACCCCAGTCTCTTGTTATTTTTTATGTATTATTTATTATATATTATATTTTTGTTATTGTATGTATTGTGATGTGTGAGCTACTGTATCCAAATAATTCCCCTTGTCAATCAATAAAGTTTATCTAAGATGCTACATGCTTGTTTTGATATTTCTTTTGCTAATCAATATGTAGATTATTTGTTACATAATCCATACAATATTATACAGTACTATTTTACGAAATAGGAAAAACAAATGAGAATCACCCAGACCAACAAAACATAAAACACACTTTTGTATTTGTGTTTTATTTATTATTATTCATCATTTCAGATACTGACTAAGCATTATTTATCTTCATAATTGCCCTCTTACAACAAGAGATTCTTAAATCAATGTTATAGCTTTCGCAAAAGGTTTTTAATCATGTTTCTTTTCTCTTCTACCGTGGCATGCCCGCGACTATCTCAGATTCAATACCACATTCATCGTTTCCACGTTTGATCTTGAAGTAACCTGAAAGAAATTATTTAAATGCTCGGTTTTTAAAATCTGCTCACAATAATTAATGTTATATTTATATTTTTTGATTATTTTACCTTTATCACCCCAGTCCTCATTCCAAGAGTTTGCCACCAGCCAGTAGGGGGTGCCCTTCTCCACCCCCCAGCCCAGAACTTTGACAGCATGACCACCGAGCATGTCTCCTGTTACATGCTGGTACACACCTGACACAACCCACACCAGTAATGAGCAGTGCGTACTGTATTGCAAAGTTAGAATTGTGTTACTTTAGACCTACCGGATTTGTATTGGAGAAAATCAGCATAAACATTGAAGGCAGCTTCTACTGGTCCGTTCTTGTACAACTCAGTCTTGATTTGGTCCTCATTGCTGGGGACATAGTATGTGTGTCCACCTGATAAACAATAGAAGGTTTCATAATCCAATGTAAAAGCCTATTTAAAAAGATACAGCAAGTCTAAGGTTTTTTTGTTGTGTTTTGTTTTTTGTTTTTTTACCAAAGTGCTTGTCCTTGGGATAGGAGGGAGAGTATCCACTGACGCACTGCTCCACACATTTTGGGGTTTCTGTCTCACCTTGGCATGGAGGCCTTGAGCCATTAACATGATGCTCACAGGGAGCAATAGTGTAGGGTCGACATCCTATTAACATCTTTTATTAATTTAACCCATTGCAATTAGTTAAATGTATGCAGAACATATGAGTAGTCTATGATGTGTACCTACCCACTTTGGAGTTATACAAGCCTCCTGTGACCAGTCCATTCTGTGCCCAGTAATCCCAGGCAGCAGAAGGAAAACCACCGTAACATCTTGATTCAAATTTACAAAAATTACAACAGGAAATAAAACAAAATGTGTTAACTTTGTATTAATTGTCTTCAGACTACTAACCCCATGCCACACTCATCACAGCAGGTTAGGAGGTCCTCTGCTGAAATCTGCACTGTCACCTTCCCATCGCTCAGAATGCAGATACGGTCTGATATGGCCTCCACTGCCCCAAAGGCCTAAAAGAAAGGAGAGTTGTATCATCTGTCTAGTTTTCTTCTTGTCATATTTGGAAAGTGTTTCTATAGAGCACAATTATACAATACATTTGGTCAATAAAAGTTTTATGGATCCACAAGGCAATTTCCTTGGTCAAAGAAGTGCACAAAATTGAATATGTCAAAATTATAGGACAAATATTCAGATTGTAGAAAATACAAAATAAAAAAATATATAATACAAATAAATAAATGATGCTAATAGTAGTTGCTGAGGATGGGAGGAATGAACCAGTGATTGAAAAATGGGTTGTACAATCTGGAAACTTTCAATGTTTATATTTGTCTTTTCAGTGTTTTTATGCTGCAATCGCTGTTGTTTGAAATATATTTTTTTGTGGAAATTCAACTCAATTATTGAATTAGGGACATAAAAAGACATATTTTAAACTGCTTTGCATCTGTCTGTATAATAATATTGTACTATGATAAAACTTACCCAGCAGGATCCACAATTTCCTTGGTCTCGAATCTGTGCGATGGTGGGACAGTTAGGCCACTGCTCACGGGCATCAAAACTATCTGGAAGTTGTATGTTCTCAGTGTTGTGAAAGCTGTAATAAATAATACAATGTTATTTTAGTTATATAGTCATGGCACACCTGCTAATGTCACTTGTTAGAAGCTGTACACTTACACCTCTGGCAACTTTGGTCCATTCATAATAGTCCCACATAAAGCTTTATAGTAGGAAACATCAACATCATCAAAGTTATGTCCAGCCTAAAGAGAAAAGTTCAGTTAAAAGGAGAATTGAAATTTGAACAAAAGATGCGTGTGATCAGTGTGTATATTTAGTCTTACTCTCCATGTAGTGTTGGCTTTATTCACAAAATTAACTATCTCCAAAGGAGACACAGGGTGAGCATGGGTCCCGGTGACAAAAAGTGTCACTAACCCCAGGCAAAGAGTAGTTAGATGATTCATTCTAAAACAATATAAAAACTAATTTTTGACGATGTCCATAATTGTAAAAACTAAAATAAATAAATACAATGAGCTGTGTGTGTATTTGAAAGCAATCTTACCTGTCTTCTTGTGAGTCTGTGCAGTGTCTGTGGTGTGTCCTATTTAGGCTAAAAAAAAAAGCTGCCCTTGTAATTTTCTAAGCTTTTATAGCCCAATATTTACGAGATCACATGCTTGTGGGGCACACTGTCTATAATAATCTTGTGACTGAGTAATTCAAATGTTCACAGGTGATTTAAAGTGACAACAATCATGGACAGGCAACTGATAAACAACTGTACAATATATAAAAGTAATGCTGAGGTGCAATAGTAATTATGAGAGTGAGATGGTTCTTAGGTTCTCCTTGGTACCAACACATTGAAAAAAGTAACGTGTATAGCAGATATCATATAACAAATAAAACCTCTCTATAGCCATTTATTGATCATATATTTACAAATCATTATAACACATTACATAGCAATGTTTGGAGCTCTCTTTGGTTCTGTACAAGGTGCATCTACCTTTTCTACTCACCAAAGCTGTAAGGACACTTGGCTAGCATTTTTATATGCCTAACTTTCATTTCAATATTGTGTCAGAAATACACAAGTATATTATTAAAGTCTATAAACTGCAGAGGTACTCTATTGATGCACAGTTGAAACATTCAACAAAGCTCTGTACACTGAGAAGACCAAGGGCAGTAAACATCAACATGAAAACTGAAGTGCAGTTTCCTTTGTAAAACAAATGTTGAAAAATATAAACATTTTAGCACTGATCAAGATGCCAAGATTAATTTCAATTTAAAAAAAAAAATAGAAACAAAGCCCACTAACCACATTCAACATCCTGATCCTTAAAGTGATAATGGTGCATGTAACTACACCAAATTCCCTAATTTCTTCAGCTGGAAACAACATTACTACAAATTATTGACAATGGGTCTCCATTTAGGGGCAGTTTGTGGTCCAGGAGAAGCCTAAGAATGGGTAATTTTTGATGTCCTGCTTTGACAAGATGCGAACATTTACACAAATTGAAATCCAAAGGTTGTTATTGGTATTTGAAGATGCTGATGCATTAGCTAAGCATATTGACTCTATTGTCCCTGCATGTCCCCTGTGCCTTGGGCCTGTGCTGCTGTAGTACTGAGGTACTGCCAGCTGAGGGCAGCGAGGAGCATAGCAGCAGACAAGTACATGGGCGACAAATGATGTGCTCTGGTGACATAGCTGGACTGGGATTTCTCTCGAATAACACTGAGTACATGTAGAGTCTTGTCCCGTGACGGGTCTGTGAGCAACACCTTATGTAAAATCTGCAAAAAACACAAAAATGATCTTACTTTTGCTTTATATTTTAGAAAGGATAAAAGTCAGGTCCCAGATTCAATACCTCTTGACTGTACTGGGCAATGATGGCCTGCACAGCTCTCATATTGGTGGCCTCCATCATAAGTGTCACTGCTTGTCCTTTTCTGATCTTCACAACTCCCTGAAAGACCATGGGGTTGTTGTAGCATGCTGATAATGTTGCTATTGCCATTACCTGGTCAACAACAGAAAGGACACAGTTACACCATGATGAAATAACCACACTTACAACCACTCACTACAAAATTACATTTTGTTAGCATAATTTATATAATATACTTGGAGGGTGGTGTACCTGTGGAATTGCACAGAAATTAAACACGCTCTGGTTGCGTAGACGGGACAGATACGTGATGACGTCTGGGACATGGTGAAGAGCGTCAGTGACTAAAAAGTTGAGACAGGACAGGGCAGACTCCAGCTTCTCTGGCTGCGCAAAGTCCTCCAGACGGTCTGCAAACTGGTTCCACGCCTGCACAATAATATGAGGAATTTTTTAAAGCACTATTTTCTTTTTCAGCATTCCGAGCCTTGGTGAATGCATGGAATAAGATCTAGTATTTGTGGGATAAAATCAAACATTACACTTTTTGAAGGTTTGAAATAGTTTGCTCTGATTACATTTTATCTGTAAGTAAAAATGTCTCACCTCTTTTGGCCAAAAAGCACGTCCATCTCGAGTGTCCTCCAGATAATCTCGAATGATGTTGGTCTTCTGTAGAAACAAGCCCATTGAATTGGCCAGGTCACTGTCTTGTCCCACTTCAGGGTCCTCAAGCTGAGATGCAGAGAACAGCTGTGACAGGCCGATGCCGACCAGCCCAGCCACATAGTGGCAGTACTGCAAAAAAACAAGTAACAAACATCGTATTGTATTCTTAAGTTATAGTTAAACTTTAATACAAAGTTAAAAATTAAATGAATTGATTATTTACTTTGTCCCACTCCTTCATGGATCCAACTTTCTTCTCCAAAAATTCAGCCATTCCCACTCCCATTCTGTGGCAGATATCTGAGATGACCTCTCTGTATTCCTGAGCGAGGTTTCTGAATTCCAGTGATATCTGAAATGAAGTTTGTACAAAAAGGTTTACTTAATGTTTCAAAATAACAAAAGGCTTTATGCTAGATTACTGACAGTGGGGAAATCCTCCAGGACTTGACGGTCCTTCTCCTGGCTCTCGGTGAAGCACCACTCATCCTGGTACAGATAAGTGTGGAAGTTATTCAACATGGGCACCTTCTTTTCCAGTGGGATGGTCATGTCGTCCTCAACAGTGTCCAAGGCTCGCAGTACCAGGTAGAAAATACACACTGCATGTCTGATTGAAAACAAAATAATGTGGGGTTAAGATTAGAAGATCATTAATTAATTAATCCATTTCAGTGAGCGTTAACCTTGTACTGGGAAAACTCTGACCTGGAATCTATAAAGAGAGCAAGGAATTTGACCACTTGGATTTCTGACCTGACCTTTCATCTCCAGTATATCTGTATCAGGGCTACAGTGCGCGGTAGAGTTAGGCTGATCTCCCATTTTATGCTGGCACATAGGCCTATTAGTTTACATTTCACACAAGAGACAGAGATTAAACTCTTCAGTCTTTTTTCAATTTTGGTACTGACACTACAGGACCTGCAGCAATGGAGTTTTGTGCAGCTCTTGGCAGGTTTTCACATGTTGCATCACACAGCAGCTGCCATATATTGTTTGTTGACCGAGCCTTTGTTCATGCACAAATATGCATTTGCAAGAAACCACTGCATTGGTGGCACGTTTTGATTGTGCACACACAAGCAGACTTCACAATGCAATGTTTGATTTTAAAAACGACACAGTAACTGGCACTGCTGCTTGGGAGAACTTACAGCATGTTGAGAGACACACCCCTCTTATGTATGTTGTCAGCCAAACTTTTACCCACCTCAGCTCTCCGTCCAAGGCCTGGATGACAGCTGCAAAACTTCGGCTGGTTTGGTTCAGGTACACGTAGCAGGTCCTGAGACTCTCGCTCATGGACTCCTGGCAGGACAGACAGAGGAAGGTCGTGTGTCGGTAAAAGCTGGTGGGTCTGAGGGCGCAGGAGGGTCGGGCGGCCTCCTGCAGGCCCCTCTCCCCCAGCCTCCACCCGGGGAGGAGGAGGGAGCGAGGAGCCACCGAGCCTGAGCCCCGTGGCGCCACCGACAAAGAGCGCTTAAACACGGACAGAGACACCGGACACTTGCAGCAGGCTCCGGCCATGCGAGAACTCAAGCGCACGAAAAGAACAAACCAAAACTCGCCATTTTAGGACCACAGGGGGCAGTGGAGAAGTTTGACACATGCAGAGGACAACAGAGCTGCAGGGTCGTGTGAGGTAATGCGCTTTGGGAGGACCCAGACCGCTCTGCTGATCTATAAATGACATACGCCTACTGTTCAGGCCTCTACTACGGCGATCCACTACTTTGTAGATCTGTTGTTATGATTTTGGGCATGACTCCACCCACTGCGCCCAATGCCATGATAAACTTCCTCTTTTCGGTGTTTTGCACAGCTAAACTTTCCTTCTTTTTCTTTCCTGATATTTAGATTGCATGTTACAATGTACCTATAGGCCAATATGAATAAGAATACTAAAAACTGCATTGGCTGCAAAATATGCGTCTTGTTATTTTAAGTTAATTACGCGCATTATTTTCTGGAGTCTCTTTGCATCACTGTTCCTTATCTCATATGTTGCACCCCAAACATGAACTTACAAACATAACCACGGACACATTTCGAAAACATAGCAACCATAGCAACTCGCAACAACTAGTGGCAGTCTTTGGAATTACACTGCATGACTATCTGCATGCTGTCATACATTAACTTTATTCTAAACATGATAAATCTTCATTGTAGGCAAAACAGCACGAACATATTTTGAAGAGCGGTTTATTCCTCTACCTTTAATATTAAATCATTGCTATCAAAATATTCATATCAAATGGTGTCATTAAAACCCTGGCGCTGACTCTTTTCCCCGGGGTCACATTGGCGTAAAATGGATTATCCGTGAAACATGCGCACAGCCTCTGCTCAACGGTGAAGTCCCCAAGCTCTTTATGCAACGCAAATCCTGTGTCAATGGTCATCTCTGGTCCATGCACTCGAGCCAAGCGCAAGCGAGAGAGAGAGCGATCTCATTTGACTCAGTCCAATTAGCCGCATCAGCTTATGGTGTCTGTCCAGAAGTCCAATGCAGAATAGGTGGTGAACTGCTATAAGCAATAAATATTACTGAACAATATGCAACATGTATTTAGTAACAAGTGACGCACAAAGCCTGGACTGTTTGAAACATGTGAACCCGCTACTTACATAATCCAACTTCGGCATGACAGCTCTGCAGCCACCCATTTTGAACTTGAATAAATTGAGCAGCTCCTCCGGATGCCCCAAAGATTTCAAAACGTCCATGTTGCCTTGAACTTGAGCTTCTGCTATGATCTAATCGAGCAATGAGGACTTCGTCTCCATCAAAACAGAGAACGCAGGAAGCGGCGGCTGCACCATTCGCAGAGACGGAAGATAGGGGTTTTCAATCGTGATCCTCGTCAGATCGAATGACTGCGCTGATTGGCTGAGGTGTCATGAGCCTAGATGCGAGCAGCCAATGAGCGTCCAGAGCGTCTGGTGTGATGCCCCGCCCAGAGGCACTGGCAAAGAGTCGCGTGTGATTGGTTATCCACTAAAGCATGGGAATTTCTACAAATCAGAACCTTTATTTACAATGCTTTTTTGCACATAGATATTGAGAAATGGTTTCAGTAACTGCAGAGCTGAACTAGAGAAAGATGGCAAGGTTTAACTGGTCGTTAAGAAAATAATCTAAAGGCAATAGAGAGAATGACACGATCAAAATAAGTTATTTGTTGCTTTAGATTTAACAGAATAAACACAACTCTAAAGAGCATTTATATCTTTTATTTACATTTATTTATAATTGACTAGGCCCATATTATGCAATTTTCTGATGTAATTTTCTTTTCTCTTCAAAAACATACCTGAAGTTGCATTTTGTTTCATTCACACAAACTCTGCATATTTAGACTGTGTTCTTGTCTCAACTTGAAATACTCTTCCACCTTGTGATGTTATGTGGTAATACAGGAAGTGCTCCACTGTGTTTTTAAACTCCATACACTGTTACTAGAATCTGTTGGCTAATTACAACCTTAGAATTGTCAATATCTATTGAACTAAAGGTTAAAGGTAGCTGTTAACTTGAAAACTACCACTTCATGACTTCACATGGTGGAAAAGAGCATTTTGAGCTTTGGACATTTAGACAGACTAATAATAAAGGATTACTCAAACATGTGTGAATGAAAAGCAGCTCTATGTTTTTGATAAGGTAACAACATTCTAACATGGCTTAAAGCTCACAAGAGTGAATGCCAAGACCTTCAACTGACATTTTGTTATGGCTTAGTATTGAATTATTTGTAGACATACAAAGCACTTAGTGAAATAGTGGTAATAACTTCTATTACTAATGGTATAAGTAATAATAACTTTATATAACTTATCATTATAATAACTTAACATTAGCCTTGGAAATGATATATATATATATATAATATATATATATATATATATATATATAATATATATATATATATATATATATATATATAATATATATATATATATATATATATATATATATATATATATGTAGACTGTGCAAAGAGGCTCCTGAGACAGTCCAGCACATAACTGCAGGGTGTAAGATGCTGGCAGGGAAAGCATACATGGAGCGACATAACCAAGTGGCGGGCATAGTGTACAGAAACATCTGTGCAGAGTACGGGCTGGAAACCCCAGGATCAAGGTGGGAAACACCTCCAAAGGTTGTGGAGAATGACCGAGCCAAGATCCTGTGGGACTTCCAGATACAGACTGACAGAATGGTGATGGCGAACCAACCAGACATAATGGTGGTGGACATCGCAATACCAAGCGATGGTAATATCAGGAAAAGGAACACGAGAAGCTAGAGAAATACCAGGGGCTCAAGGAAGAGCTGGAGAGAGCCTGGAAAGTAAAGGCATCAGTGGTGCCTGTGGTGATCGGAGCACTCGGGGCTGTAACCCCCAAACTGGAAGAGTGGCTACAACAGATACCGGGAAAAACAACGGACATCTCAGTCCAGAAAAGTGCAGTACTGGGAACAGCAAAGATACTGCGCAGAACTCTCAAGCTCCCAGGCCTCTGGTAGAGGACCCGAGCTCAATGAGGGTGAGAGAGACCTACCACCGTGGAAGGTGAGAAACACATTTATATATATATATATATATATATATATATATATATATATATATATATATATATATATATATATATATATATATATATATATATATATATATATATATATATATATGTTTATTTACAGACTCAGGGTCCAGGGATTGACAGACATAGCTGCTAATGTGCACAGATTACCTCCTACACTCTGTTGTGTGTGTGACAATGTGTCTTGCCCAACAGCAGGACAGTATATTCACTGACCACAACTGGGATTGAACCATGTGAACCATGTAATTAATTAGTGGTAGATCAACCAACCAAGACACACATTTAATTAAAAAGAACAACAATTTGAACAAAGATTTTCCTTTTAATAGCCTATGTGAACCATAACCTATGTAACAAAAAGCGTAACAATGAACATGTGCATAACAGCATAACCTAGTGGTATCAGTGACAACAAGATTTGATTAATTTCTGAGTGAAGTTCTAACAAAAAACTTTACACTTCCTATTGACTCTGAAATTTTCTGGCTTTCATGTGGTGACACAAAACCACCCACACCCTGCTAAACACGTTGCTTGGTGTGTGTTTATCAAAGTGTCATGTGCTCCAACAGGCCTTTTGGGAACTTTGTCCAAACAAGTTTTTACATATTGTATTTGTCTCATCGAACCACTGATAAACACAATTAAGAATGTTATGAGAAATCAGAGGCAGAGAAGAAACTTAAATATGTGTTGTGTCATTTATTCATAAAAGAACACACATTTCTTGTTCATGTTCATTTGTTGTGCCTTTTAGACAAAACCAGTGCACAGCTGGGACCAATTCAAATGTATATGAAAGTAATTTATCAACCCTAATCCATAAATCCAAAATCTAACATGGTTCTTTGTATGCTTTGATCTATCTCAGTGGATGCCCTATAAGACAGTTGAGGACTCTTCTCATATGAGCTGACGAAAGCATTGCATAAACACAGGTTAGGTGAGTTCCATGAATTTCGCCTCAAGCGATAGCAACATGGGCAGTTACTGTAGCTAAATTTGGTAGTTTACTCGGCACTACAACAGTTCGGGAGTGTCTCTCACTGCTCTGACATCCATCTTATGGACATTTAAGGACACTATATAGTTGTGTGTGTGTTTATGAAGGGTTAATGCTGCACTGGATGGAACTTCAAAGGTGAGTATTTTGTACTTTAATAACCAACTTGTGAAATAGTTATTTAATGAAGTATTTTGTGGTGTTTTTCAGGTTGACTCGTAAAAGGTATAACTGTGACAGCCACCAAGACAATGAGCCACCATCAAAAGCATGGAAATGTTTGTTGGACACAGTTGTAACACAAAGGTGTGATATTTTACTTAACTTTGTATATTCTTGTAGAGATCTAATCTTTGTTTTACAACAGGAGAACAAGATATTTTAGGTTGACATGACTATAGTATTTCCATATTATTGTTTCATCTCAGACCTATGTCAAAAATAATATCATAACCTATTAGCTATGTATCTGTCAATACAGTTAATAACAGTGTGTAAAGATGCAATATGATTGTGGTATAGTTAGAGTCATATGCATATAGCTGCCACAGAGAAAGATTATTTTGCTAATATTAAAATCTTTCCAACCTAAAACTGTATGTCTTATTTTTTTGTTACAGGCCCAATTTTGGTGATCCAAGTACTCCCCAGGACTACAGTGCAAAAAACTTGGGTGAAATTGGGGACATTACTCAGTTGATTTCTGTCTGGTCTGACACACAGAGCACTGGGAAGCGAGTCCTACTTCATCTCCAGTCCAACGAAACCATTGAGGACATTTTGCTCAACAATTCGGTCAATAACAAATTTCTGGCTTTTCACCGCGATATCACAGAAGAATGTGGTGCCGCAGATAAGCAGTATTCATGGGCTGTTATTGAGAAAAGAGAAGAAGTTTTTATGTATGGACCCTATTATCCTAATTATAACAAGGGAAAGCATAGTGAAGACATCATCATTAGACAAACTGAAGAATTGCTCGAATCAAATGAGGCAGATGAAGACTGGATAGTCTATGTATTTACAAAGAACAGTCCATGTCTTTCCAGAAATGCAAAACCTCCATGTATGCTCAAATTGGTCCAGAAAGCCAAAGAATGGTGGCTGAGGTTTAGAGTAAAAACCAATATTGGATATAGCAAGTGCTGGGGTTTTAAAGGGAAGAAAGAAACTATATTTAGAGTTGTCAGTTACAGTGAAGTGGAAGCCGTGAACAAAAGTGAAAACTATGATGAATACATATCTCAAAAACTGACTGGAGTAAATATTATGTGAAAATGTGTATACACTGCTCAGAAATCTCCTCAGATGTGGACCATTCATTTTTGATTTATCGCTACAAGGCCCTGAGTGGAAGAGTTACTTCAAAGGAATGCAAATAATTCCAGAAATTGCACAAGAAAATGAGAAAGAATTCCTGAAACTTGAAATAAACCGGATGACTGAAGAGGTGAAGTCTCTCTCTACAGAGACATGTATGAGTGCAGAGGAACATTCAAAGAGAGGACAAGAGTTTGCACTGGATTATAAATTTGATTTGCAAATAACCAAAGGCACAACGGATGAACTGAGACTAGCATTTCAAAAGTGTTGGAAGGAAATGATACAGGACAAATATGCAGAAATACTAAGGGACATACTGACAAAAGATTTCAACAAATGTACCAATCATCTTTTCATCAAAGACTTTGTAAAGGTGACCTCTTCATTTTTGCACATTGGAAGAATTGATTGTACAGATGAGAAACAGCACATTAATTAACAAAAGTTTATATTTGACTTTATAACATTGAGCCTCAGCAGTGTAGTTACATTCTCACTCTTTATCTATTACTGAGACACTGCTGTTAGATCTGTCACGATAATTACTATATCTGCTTATCATTCAATAGAGGAACAATAAGCAGTATTTTGGGGTTCAGTATGTATTATGGGTACTTTGTCTTTGCAATAGTGGAGAGTTTTTTTTGCCATTTTATGTAATAATTTAAGATTTGAGCTGTAGAGCAAGCTGTAGGCTTTTTAATGATACGGTCTATTTCAAAATTGGCTTACTGGCATTATCTTGCTTTGTGTCACTGACATAAAGTAGAATCAGAAGTAGAATCAGCAGAATTCAGAATTATTGTTTATTACAATATTTCTAAATAGAAATATATCATGCTTCAAAATGTGTTATCGTGACAGGCCTAACTACTGTTCCTTCTTACCTCCCAATATCTGCTGACAAATTCTACAATGATGACCTGCTGATGTTCTTTACATTTAACCAAAGCGACAAGGGTCATAAAAATCATTTTGAAAGTAAGCCCACCATTAACATTTTAAGTGTTCTGTTCTGTTGGAGGTGCACATAAAAGCTGTGCATGTTTCACTGAAGATATTTTTATATCTGTAACTTTATGTGCCAATTTCATATAATTCATCAAAAGGAGTGGAGCTTATAGGGATACATAAATTGCTATACTGTAATAAAACATGGGTTCAACTGACAAAAGTTTTCATAAGCAAAATCTGTTAAAAAAAATTATATAAACATCAAATTCAAATATTACTTACATTATGTTTTATTTTGGGCTGTGCTTTTAATAAATACCGATAATAGGGCTATCGGTAAAGCTCTATATCATCAGCTACAAACATTAGGAACCCCATGATAGTCAGACCGTCTTGTAGGTGCAGTGCTTTCAGCAGGGGGCGCTAAATCCACATAGTATTCAATGTGCAAGTTGCGCTGCATAGGTAGTCTATTGTGTTGATAAAAATAATTCCATACTAAATTACTGTACAATCACTGTTAAAACCAGTTCAAAATACTATACATGTTTTTATTGCACTTACAGTATATGTGAAATGTGTAACTGAAGAGGAGGGAGTGACTTGCTTTTAAAATGTACTGAGCACAAAATATTATTAAATTTTCTAGAATGTAATTATTTAAATTTCTGTTTGTGGTTTTTGCCCAATGATTTGTCACCTTTCTCATACTCAACACTAATATACATAAATGTCTCATAGACTTAAATGTGTTATGTATTATATAATTCATAGACAGTACTTTATCTTATCAAATATTGTTTTGAAGCAACTGCATATCATGAAAACAAAACAATAAAAGTAAAATACAGTGAAAATGTCTGACCGCACCAGTGTCTGTCACATACTCCTTCAGACGTCTTCATATTGACATACAATCAGGTCAAAAGGATTGGAGCATTCTTCGTCCTAGTTTAGCTCATCTCTTCCTTCAACCACAGTTCACAAAGTAAATGCAGCATTTGTGCATTTTAGTCTATTGCAGCTCCAGTTTATGGACAAGGCACTATGAAAGCATAAGGCTGCGACTCAGTCTGTTGAATATATAAAATAGCTTTGTGATACCGGTTCTCCTAAGCCAGGATAAGATTATTCCAAGGCTCATTCTTGGAGCTGGTGGACCCACTGTGGCTCCCGGGAGACATCTTCAGAGGGATGGCTCCTCCTTGTGCGGACATATACGCCGGCAGGGCTGAGATCTGGACAGACATTAAAAGAAGTTTAGATTACCAGAAAATTTCCATTTGTCTTGTTTACAGAAATGTACCTGTGTGTGTGCGCTGTGTGTATAGAGGTGGGTGTCCGGCTCTGTTTTTATCTGTCGGGGCTCCTCTGAGGGGGGTGGGGGGCGAGGAGCTGCTGTGCTGCCCTCACTGCCTGAACTCCCTGTGGAGGATACACTCACTTATTAACCAGAACAAGAACTCAAACCTAATGTGTACATTTTCATCAATAATATTTTGTTATCATCTGTAGCATTATAATATTAGAACATATCTGTCCAGCTTTCATACCTACCAGACTTATTCACATTTTTGGGTTTCCGTTTGCGTGTCTGGATGCCCTCTTTTTTCATAGCCAGAGGTCGGGGAACCTTTTGGAATACATTTTAATACAATGGCACTAAATTGTATTCATACAATTGTATTTGGTACAAATGTATCTGACAGAATATATTCTGTTTCCTCAACCGAGACCGATCTTACCCCGTGCAGTTTCATGTAGAGCCCACAGGCGTTGCACACGGGCTCTCCCTCTGCATTGCGGCGCCACAGTGTGGTGGTAGTTGTGTGACAGTTGGTGCAGGAGAGACCCACTCGTCTCGAGGCTGACTGTAGATTACATGTATATTCTTTAGACCTAAAAAACGGCGTAAGTCTATGTATAGACTTGGGTCACTCACCAGTCGCCGCTGAGGTTTGATCAGAGGTCTGTTGATGCCATTCATCTTGTGGTACAGTCCACAGGCGTTGCACAGGTAATGGCCCGTACCATCCCGCCTCCACAGTGGGGTGGACATCGCCCCACAGTTCACACACTCACGCCCCTCAGCAAAATCATCAAACAGATCTGAAAGAACATCAATTTAATTACATGATACAAGCTTTTTTATACTATTGTCACAAAGAATATTTTATAAAGAACTCAAAGGAAGCTGTAGAGCTGAATCATGCAGTAAATGTCAAAAAAGTCCAATGTAAAACTAAAAATCCTTTCTTATCACATGTGATTAAGAGTCAACCTGGAAATAAAAACAGAAGAGCTGCTTGACATCCAAGCTCATTCATATTGTCACTGTTCTTAGGTTACTCTGTAAATTCTTATCTGATTAATAATATCAGTATTGTCCATTTGGCCTTACACAAAAGATTTCTTTAGAAGACCTTCAGTCAATGCTGTGGGAATGATTGATGCCTTGTCTATTTTTTGTAAGTGTGAAACATTATACATTTTCTGCACATTATGTTTGAGAGGCGACAATAAACAAATAAATCTGGCTCCCAAGTGCATCTCCTGCTGTACAATGCTGTGAATGTGATTATAACTTTAGAGAACAAAAGTCGACCTATGGGGCAGGCTAACCTTGAGGCAGCTAATGTAGCCAACACAACATAGTAACACAAGACAATACACAAGACATTCTGCAGTTTCCGAGAGAGATTCAAATCGAGGAGTATTTTTTCCGCTTCATAAAATGTTGATATGAGTGTTTTATGAAATTATGGTCTCCTTGACCCTTTTATAGGGGAAAGGTGAATGACAAATAATAGAATAGCTGTATTGAGAGGGGAAAAAACAAAACTAACACAAAAAGTAATTAGGATGGGTAGGATATTTTCTCATTTGTACATGTAATGCCATACTTGTACTTTATTTGATTTGGTACATTTTATTCAAATGCAAAATATGAGTCTTTGTCATTATTGATTAGAATTATGGCATTAGTACATTACAAAGCATACATTTAGATACAATAAGGATACAGTTTAAAATGGTATCTTTACACATAATTATTTATTTTTGATAATTGATTAAATATTTGGTTCAAGAAAATTCACTTTAGTCTTCACAGGTGAATATTCTTACCTTTACATTGAATATTGTTGTAAATGAGACATTTACATAAAAGTTTGTGAACATTTTTCCCATGGATTTCCTATATTCAATATAGAGAAAAAAGTCTTTCATAAGGACGATAATCCAAAAAAGTCTACGAATAACTACACAGATGGCAACAAATAAACAGTGTAAAATGTGATGTAATACTTAGGCCATAGAACAGGACCAGGTGCAGCCCAAGGCCCATTTCACACTGTTTAGACAGCGGTCATAATAATGCAGACATTTATTTTTATGAATTGGGGTGAGAGTATCATGACAGATATAACCTTTTTATTATATTGTAAAACTAATATACTAGTGATTTATATTGTCTGTTTGTTACAAATATAAAATCTCACATTCAAATTATTGAAACAGACTATATCCTGTGCTGTAATTGTTGTGTAATTATTAATGTGTAATTACTTAATTAATGTGTGATTTCTTGTGATACATTATGATCTATTACAAGGGCAGACCTTTGTTTTTAATTACGAAAGAAAATGTTATTCATCACGAAATGAAAGCGTTGGCCGGTAAGGGAAAAAAAATAATGTTTTTTTGTTTGTTTTGTTTGTTTGTTTTTATCAAATCCTACTTTAGATGTATCTATCGCCTCAATAACATTTTAATAAAAAATCATTCATTAATAATAATCCATATATATTAAGAGGACTTGGGAAACGGTGTTGTGAACGTAAGATTGTTACGTTTAAAACTTCATCTACGTTATAATACAAATTCAATTCCACATTTTTTGTTAGAGCAATAATAGTTGACGGAGTTTAAATTGCTATAAGTTAATAATGTAAAAACAGACTTTAGGGGCTCACGTTTTTCTGCTTTTTAGGAACTTGCCCTCTGGATAAATTAGTTTTGACCTTGTTTGTTTAGGTTAAGTTGAGTTTAAATGCGTTAATCGCTTTTTAATAAACTGTTATCAGTTTTGTTAAGTTGTTCTAAATAAGATAGCTGATGAACTACTTAGCACAGTCCAAAAAAAGTTTGTGTTATTAGCAGCACGTTTACAGGGCCCAGACAAGCAAGCTAGCTTAAAACCATTTCTGAAACGTAAAATAAAATTTTAACTTTTAAATTACACAGTTGTTGTTTTTTTCGTAAAATGTACACACGGTCTCAGTGTGTGTTTTCGGTCCCTCTGCAGGTACGTGACTGTCTGTCATGAACTATCAAATTCGCCTGTCATGAAAAGCAGGACAAGAGCTACACTCGGCTAAATATTTTTACTCGGCTAAATATTTTCATCATGGTTAAATTGGTCTCAGGAGATAAAGTTTTTTGAGTGGCACATCAGAGTGACCCCGGGTCTTCTCACCTATGTTAGGATGCCGTGTCGCTCCGGGATTTCCCCCGGGTTGGAGGCCGTGCAGCACCGGGCTGTCGAACGGAGATGCCGTCCACGTTCCTCCCACGTTGGGGCTCATGTAGGTGGTGTAAGGACTGTGGTACGAGCCGCTGAGCCCTCGGGCTCCGTAGTGATCTCTCCCGTTTGTGGAGATGTTCAGCGGGCTGGAATAAGACGCAGTTTCCCGGGCGGAGGCCATACCCGAGGACAGGGGTGGGCTGGTGGAGAAGCTGAAGCGTGGAGACACCGGGGAGTGATTGTACGAAGACACGGACTCGGCGCCCGCCTGTGCCCAGGCAGAGTGACTTGATACCGGGCTGCCCTGCTGCGAGGCACCGGCCGTCTGAAGGTAAGGCAGCGCTGGGATCATCGGGGTGACCACTCGTGTGGTCGGCACATAGACCGGTGAAGTACCTGCAGGAGCATTGTGGAGAAAACCAGCCTCATAGGACGGGGCTCCGTGGTTAGTTGTCATTATGCCCTGGTACATTTCTCCTGAGACTGGACATCCGTGTTGCTGAAGAAACAGTGTACTTCACCCACAAGTTAATACGGGAAAAATTACTTTAAATAATACATCCACACGGGTTCTGAAAAAGCTGGTCCGGTTTTGAGTGAAAAGAAAACAAAGTTGAACAGAGAGAGCAGAGGAGGCCCCAGAGGAGGAGAGAGGAGAGTGAGACAATGATCAAGTTCCTAACTGTTATCCTGCCCCTTCTCTCTCTCTCCTGGTCCAGGCCTGTCTTCACAACAGCATGACACATGAGCACATGAGTGTAGTGGGTCTATACACTTTAGTATAGGTACTTTCAAAAGTATCATACTTAGGTGCATTTTTAACATGTCCAAATAAGGAAGTACTTTATTTTTTTCAAAATTGCAAAAATGGCATAATTGCAAATAAGTTAAATTAATTTAGCTAAGTTTTATTCATACCATAGTATATGATTCATCCAAAAGATTTAAATGGGTAACTTCACATTAATAATATACATGATAATATATTTAAGAATTCCTCTCTTTAAAATAGTTGATAAAAAAAGAATTATATTTTTCCTAGAAAACAGTGCAGACAGCAGTTAAGTTGTAAATAAAATATTTCACTGTGTTTGAAGTAGGATACTTCTAGTATTAGTTGGCCTCATGAAGATGGATTTATATTACCTGCCTTCAACACCAGTGAATGTAAACACACATGGCCATTTCATTGTGTTGCCACTTCCCACTGACAATAGTGCTTTGAAATATGTGGTGAGTAGGCAGCCTGCCAATGAAGCTAAGTATAACACTGTGAGTGTACTACAAAAAAAAATATATTATTGTTATTTTTTTATGTTGGCAAAAATCTTATTTTTTCATTATTGACTCAGTGACCACTTGTAATAGTCCAGACCAATAGAGCGTCGAGCCCCAAATGAGAATAGGGAACTGTCATCAATGTGTAACTGGGCCTGATAACAGCTGCTGTATTTGCTACTAATATTAGGGTGTGGCCCTGTAGAATACTCTGTGCAGGCATATAACCTACAGATGATTAATCCATTTATGATTCAGTCCATATAAATTCAGACTGAGGTGGTATGAGAAAAAGGAATACAAGTGCTGTAGACACGGCTAATTAATCAATATTGAAAACATAGGCCTGTCACGATAATTACTACATCATCTTATCGTTCAATATATGATAAATGGTACAATACATTTGGGGGTCAATATTTATCATGGGTACTTTTTCTTTGAAGGGAGTTTTTGGTATTTTTCAGTTCTATCATAAGATTTGACATCCAGAGGATCTAATAAATAATTTTTATGACTCATATATATATATATATATATATACACACACACACACACACACACACACACACACACATATATATATATATATATATATATATATATATATATATATATATATATATATATATATATATATATATATATATATATATATATATATATATATATACACTAAAGTGCTTCTTTCTATTAATTTATTGCAGTTCATGTTTTTAGAAAAGCTTTTTAGGTGTAACCATGCTCTAGGTTTATTAGTGGCATACATTTGTTTCACTGTTATCGTGTATTGTCTATATAAGACAATATAGACAATACACGATAATATTGTCTACTTCAAAATTTCATATCATGACAGGTCTATGAAAACAGCATAAAATAGTTATTATATGTTTTGAGAACATAATCATAGTTTGTGAAAGCCATCTGTATGTTTCCCTTTCATAGAAAAATCATATTAATACATGTAACTGGGTTTGTCTATATAAAAAGGTTAACGTTTACCTCTTGACAGTTCTGTCCTCTACAGTGCACAATAATCGTTCATCCTTTTTCTGTTATTTTACATGTCATGTCTTGTTGTCATTTTTTGTTTTCTTTACCAATCCCTGTATCGCTGACAGTGACACTGGCCAGAGTCTTTGAGTCTCTGTTTGTGCAAAAGCAGCTTAAAAACAATGAATGAGCTATGTATCGATTCTCATAATGGCAAATTCTTGGATTTAAACTTTTTGTTTTTTGTTTTAAACTCTTAATTACTATGCCAACAGTCCTGTTTTTTATCATTCTGATACCCATGGATAGCTCATTATGTTGAACAGGGGTTAGTCAAATCTAGTTTTATGAGAAAAGTTCTATGCTTCTTTCTACAGTGTGTGTGTTCCCTGTCAGAAGTGATTTAAGAGGTGCTGTTGGACTGACATGACTGAGATGCTACAGGAGGAGTAGGTGTGGTGGATGTGTCTGCGTCAGAAACAGGCACCAGGAAAACTGTCCCCATCTTGGCTGGGGGCAAAGACTCAATCATTTGGGGTCACTGACTTAACTTTGGCCCTTGGTCTTCCTCAACACGCACTAACCCACCACCACATCCACACATGCACGAGGCAGCAGGACTTGTAGACTGCTGGCTCCAGGAAGAAGACTTCAAATGGTCCAAGCAGGAAAACCCTTGAGCCAGTGGTAGACCCTCGACATGGTCCAGACATATGCCTCGTTACTCACAGTCTTGGTATTCTCCATGCAGTGTCAGTGTGTGGGTTTGCAAAGTAAGCATGTGTAATGTTTGATGTGTTCTGCTGACCTAATCTATTTTGTGTTGTTTTATCTTATCAGATTAATCAGTGGAAATCTGCAGGAGCTGATCAGTAGAGTGGGGGAACAGTGTTAATCAATGGGACCTCTGCGCAGTGTAACTGTTGGAAATGTAAGTATCATGAGTTTGAAGGAGCAGTTAGGATTGACTCACCACTCAAATTTGATTTCAATAATTAATTTTAACTTTTCATGATACTTTTGCACTTTATGATTTTATTTAGAGGTTGCAGACATTGTTGTGTAAATAATAATAGAAGACAATACATGTTTTTTATGGTTTTTGAAATTAACTGTGTATGTTTGGCTTGCCCGTAAATATTTATCATAGTTTTACATCAGTGAAGTGGCAATTTGTGAGCAACAGTTGGGGAAAAGAAATAAAATAAGTAAAGTTAAGTCAGTTAAGAAGTAGTACTGAGTTTAAAATTTTTGCAAAATGTAGGGACAATTTACACATAAGAAACACTTCCTCTGTCGGTTTGAACAAGAAAATTAGCAAAATAAAGGTGTTGCCATATATTTTAATTTGGAAAATAAAATAACTATCTGCTATCGTGTCCAACCAGGAAGTAAAATTATAACCGTCACCCAACTATCAGATAAAGCTGTAATCAATGTGTAGTCATTATTAATGATCAACTTAATTCGAGAATCCATTTGAATGTCAATAAAAACAGAGAAATTTTTTTCAGTTAAATGGAAATGATTCTGTTTCTGTATTGGTTATGTGCGTTATGTTCACGAAATTTATGTAGAAAGCAACTGTATGTGTTTTCAATAGGACAATGTACGCTGGTTTAACTTAGAAGTTTCAGACAAAGTATAGATAGTAATTTTACATGAATATTTTTACGTTAAAGGTAGCTAATCAGTGACTTTAATTGGTTTATGGTTAGTTGTGTCAGATTTAATTGTTTTTATTATGAGTTTTTATGTGTTTTTCACTGCTGTCACCATGTTATTCTTGAGGATTAGCTGTGTTTGATTAGGTATCAGGATCAACACACTCACATCATTAACCTGAAGTGTGTTTTTGAACAAATTATTAACTCTCTTTTTTCTAGTAATGGGTAAAAAAGGAATTCTTGATTGAAGAGGGTCACAAACAAATTGCATAGCTGTCAATGAGAAAACCAAAAACTAAATCATTGGCACATTTGTTTGACACTAAAAATTTAATTCAGGAATACATCTGGTTCCCTACTGCTTTACCTCTGACCCAGAAAACATAGCGTGGTGCCCTATGATACAAAAAGTGTATGCACAGTGAGCTATGACTGATATATTTTTAGCAATGAAGACTCAGGGATCCCAGGACCTCTCCCTGTGATAAGCATGGGCCAAAGTCCACCGGCTAACAAATAGGAACTGGCCAACAGACACACGGCGTCGGACTTTAATAAGCGGATGCACAGGGCTTATGAGGCAGGTTGAGGGACAGCTCCTTGTTTGTAACTGAAGAGGTAAACTGGGGGTAAGATTAGGGTTAGGTAAAGGTGAAATGGTTACATCATCAACAATAGATGCTCATTAAGAGTTCAGGGACAGTTCAAGTGACGGGGTTAAAAAGTCAGGCAAAATTTGAAAAGTTGCAGCGAATGAAACTTATAAAGATGATTTTTCTATTACTGCACAACATCATCATGAAATTTCTTTGGAAGAACACTAGTAACGTGAAAAAAGAAATGTATTGCATATTGTGTTGTTTAATGCTTAATGTTAATAATACAATTCTTGCTAATTATAACATCCGTATAGCAACAGGTAAGCAAAGATTCCCATCGTGTAACTAGGCAAAATGAAAGATACAAGATTCAATTTATGAATTTAATTATTTAATTTGTTTGGGGTTAAGCCAAGTTTGTTTTTACCAAAACAACCAAAAAGGGTATAAAAACAAATCATTTTGTCTATAAAAACAACACACAAATTTATTCAAGATGAGGTTATGTTTTATTATTAAACTATTTTGTCTCCTT